TTTTTCCAGTTCACTTTCTAATTCTTCTTCATTTCTTGTATTTTCTGGTTCGATCAGACCCTCCCCAACCGCAAGAACTTGAGTACTCTTCGGATGGTCTTGGAGATGAGTATTTGTAGGGTCCCATAAGGTATCCAAGTAATTCCATTCGTGGAACATGAAGATTCTCCATATCCTTTAAAGGAGTCAATCTGGATTTTGACATTACCAATGATATGGTTATTTGATGGGATCATATGCTCGTAGGTACAGCACTGCGGCATATGCGTACTTTGCAGCATCTGTAAAGCAGTGTATCTCAATAATTTTAGATTCCCTGCAACCATCCATCCAGGTAACGTGGGAATTTATATTCATGTAGTTCTGTCAATGCGTGTTGTAGATCCTCCCACTGTTTTCTTTTTTCTGCATCTAAGACTGTATTTGCATTCCCAATGAGAAGGTCGATTTGTTCCCCTAGTGATCCATCATCAACCATGTCATATTTTGTGTCATTAGGGTTCATAGCAAGATAATCTTTGGGGCATGCCACTTTGTTGGTTATATGAGGTATTATATTTGCTTGTATGAGGTGTATTTGTCCTCTATGTATAGTGATTTTTATATTTACCACTAGGCTATTGATAGTTCTAGGTTTATTTGACCCAAATGTATAGATTAAGAGGCGATTATTGTCTTTTATTGGTAGATGAAGTTCCTTGGCTAAAGATGATGTGATATATGTTCTTTGACTGCCTGTATCTAACAAAATACGATCATAACAAGAGCAATTCCCATTTTCTATTAGTGCAACAGCTGTTTGTAATATCCCGAGGCTCATTACCTTAATTTGGAATATCTTAGTGGCAGAACTATGTTTCGGATTTAGACAAAGAGATCTATGATGATCTTCGTGCCCACAAAGGACGCATTTCTTCCTTAACTTACATTCTCTAGCACGGTGCCCCCTTTGTAGGCATACGTAACAGCGATCTATCAATTTTCTCTTTCTGTTGGCAACGGAAGCTACAATGTTTCATTCATCATTGAAGTGTGCACCTTCACAGAATAACATGATTTGCGGTATCTTTTCCCATAATTTTTCTTGTCCGAGTCAAATTTTCTCTTCATAGTCTTGTTTACCGTACCCTGGTTTCTATTTAAATGTTTATTGTTCTGCCTATCAATGTATTTATTGCTTGTGTACTGTCTGATAGACTTCTTGAGTCGTTGACTTTGTCCACTCTGAGTGAACATTGCTTCAGTCGAGAACTTTGGTAGTGAAAACTCAGTACAACCGGGTTACTACACTCTTTCGCTGTGATTATATGTTCCAGGTGCTTCCTGATCATTGACGCAGATTCATCTGAGGTCATTCGCATTTTCAGTTCTATTATTATGTCTCTTGGCAACTTTTCCATAATTATACTTCTTAAGTGTGATCCATCAGTGTTTTCCCCTAAAGCCGTCAATACTCTCAAATGTCTTTCTATCTCATTCAACAATCGTCTTTACAATGTGAGAAAACGAACTCAATATTAGTTTTTAGAACATATCCCAGCACCTCCACCATGTCCTGAACTCCAAACACGAAATGTAAAGCCTAAGGTCTTTATTATCTGATATTTAAGTGAGTACACAACCTACATTCTTTTGTTTTACCTTACAATGTTCCCAATATGAACATTCTACAAATTCGAAGATCTGCTTCGGTTGTTAGTGTGTTCTCCATCTGTCCTTTTTCTACTTCTTACCGTCTGGTCTTTTCCACATCCCGGTCAACTGCTTCCTTTGTAATTCGTGTTAGAGACATGAGGCAACTTCGCCCCTAACTTACTCGCATTCAGGGATCATTAGAGGCACCCCGTGCCCTCCCATAAACATCAATCTAATTCAGGGATCATCAGAGGTACTCAGACCCTCCCTCAGCAACCTAACCGAACCTGGTCCGACCACCATCCATCCCTGTCACTTCTCCCACTTTCCCAACTCTCTCTCATCTTCCATTTCCCACAATCACTGAAACTACAATCATTTTTCTCGCAATCCAACCACACCTTTTTCTTTTCTCGTCTCAAACGTCAAAATCCCTCATCTCTCTTTTCCGGATTGGATACAAGGGAATTGGCCTACTTGTCTTTAGTATTAATTTATAAGTTCTTTCTCTTTCTATTCTTCGCGATTCGCGACACATATAGTAAATATAAGATTGTAAAAATCAATAACATCAACTAAACATTTTTGTGAAAAAACGTATAAAATTCTTGCTTTCCAAAGAAAATACGGCTTCGATAGCAGTTTTTTCCGACTTCGGTGGAAACTTTTCTGAAATCGGTGGCATAAAATCCATCGAATCTAAGACCGCGGGATTCAGAAAATATATATTTTATTGATATTACTCTTAAACGATAATACTTGTAAGACCAATAAATTGTTATTATATTTTAGACGTTACAACATTTATATTATAAAAAATATTACATACAACCATAAAATTTAGTTTTTGAAATATCATATTATATCGAATTCATAAATCAATCTGGACCAAATCCACCGAGTTACGTATTTACACAAAAAAGTCCTGAAATCGGCAACAAATCATTCGCCTGTTCTTTCTTCAGACTATAGTACTGTCATCTAATTTATTATACATGAACTAAAGTCTAATATTGACATACGGTTTCAATTTTGAGAAAAATCACACCGGTGTTGGATTCTGCATTCGGGACACGCCACGGTTGTCAGGTTTTAGGCATTTCGGATTTTTTTTGGCATTGGATCCGAAAGGTTTATTGGGAAGATTTTGTGCTCTCCAGTTAGCTTTTGACCTATATTACACACTTTTTTGTAGAATTTTGTTTTGATAAATAAGTGGAGTTTGGTGCATGGACACAGAAAATTGCGGCTTTGGAGAAATGCCCTTATCCTGTGTCCCTGTACTGACGTCGCGGTTATTTTATTGGAAAAATCGAAAATTTAAAATTAAAGTGTTATGCTTTCCGCTCTTTTTCCTGTCCTATCATTTTGTGTTTACCAACTAAACTGAACTTTGCATATATTTAGAGTTTAAAATATTTCCAACCCGGGTTCAATTGCAATAAAAGTTTGTCCCCAATTGGCATTTGGAACATTGAATTCAAATTCAAATATTTTATTTTGGATTATTCACCTTCATTGGTTAATAAAACAAAGAAGAACTTACACACTGTTAGTAATTATATCTTATATAAATATGTACTAACTAGGTTTAGTGTACTCATGAAGTTGGTTCACTGTTCAAGGAATAAACCCTGGTCCCCTGCCATCAATGATACTTATGATGCCGGTACCGTTGCCACGCCCTTTGAACCGAATATGTTACGGTATTTTGTCGGTAAAAAAATTGTACAGATATTTATGTAAAATTTTTATTTTGCAAAATGATAGTACTTATCAGCAGGTTTTTTCATCATCATCAGCTTACTGGCATCCACTGCTGAGCATAAGCATTCCCTAAAGTACCACAAATCTCCTGGTCTTATGTCGCCTGCATCTTTTGATTGTATACACATTATAGTCTCTTTAAAGTGTAAGCAGAGCATAGGGGTCCGAGAGAGCGTCGTAAATAATTCCAATGAAGTGTATTAGTAAGTATTTAATATTTTGTTTTCTGTCTTCAGATAATTTTCAAATGAAAACCAGATTTTCAGGGACTAAAGTGGAATATAATTAATAGGGGTTTATTGCCTTTCTATATTTAGTAGTAAAAAAAAGCTTCAGAAAATAACATTTATATATTTTCAACATATCGATTACTTTCAGACTCAATTGCGTAAAGGTCAAAATGCCGAAAAAGAGTTATATATTTATACAGTTTAATTCAATTTTTTTAGCTCCATTGTACTATTTGTATGCATACTTAAATTAATATGTTGGTAGGTTTCTCTAAAATTTGCACTTTACTAAATCTCGACAGCGTGAATATCAAAACCTAAATTAAGAAAGAAAAGTTAGAGGCGTACGAGCAAGGCATTGTGTAAGTGTCAATAGATCACATATCGTACTTTATTTCCACAAATGTTTTAGAGCTTTTTTTGAGTCACGGGTAGCTCTTTTTAATTATTACTTAAAGAATATGACGTATTTAATCATTTAGTTGATTAATGCTTAACGAGCGTATGACATTCGTTTGACAAGCGTTTCGCTTACACATTTACATGGCGAACGGCTATGGAGCGGAATTCTTTGCCCGTAGACTTGTTCCCTGAACGGTATAACTTGGACCTTTTCAAGGTGACTAAGCATTATTTACGTATACATACTCCATCGTCGACTTCATCGTCACTTTCGATCAAGTGAGATGGAAGTGAAATGCCCACTTATTTTTTAATAAAAAAAATGAAAAACATCATAAGTGTCTAGGGATCAAGGTAGTTACACAGTCTCACTCCTATAGGGATGGCATGGTCATCATAAATGCACCTGCACCCAAAACTGCATAGTTGCATGTCTATAGTAGATTAGGCGCTTAGCAGTAAGAATATTGAATTAAAATAAATCAGTCTTCTAGCGACCATACAACGAATTGTTCGTTTTTTATTTTATGATTAGTTTTTAGAAAGTCGTTTTCCCTCAGTCGTGATTTGACTAGGTATTCATTTTTAATATTTGTTTACCCTATTGAAATTAAATAAAAATATAAATTGATCGATTTATGTATCTTATTAATTTATATTTTAAGTTATTAAACTGTCCAAAAAACCATTGGTGTTAAAATAAATTTATTTAAAAACCCTCATTTTCGGTAGTTGCCAAATACGTGCTTGATTGTTAGACACTTTTGATGAGTGTATTAGCCGCAATTTTGAAATAGCAAATTTAAACAGTACGTAATAAGTCGTAATGTTTAAGATTCTAATTAGATATTAGTAAAGTATTATTCAACATACATGTACAGAGGCATTGCATATCGAATTTCGTTTATTATAACGTAATCAATCAGGACTTTACTGTTAGGAATTATTAAAAATGTAATTACTTTTAATAACACTTGAAGGTGTGAAGGTGTGCTTGACATCGAAAAAATCTATTTCCTTAGCAAAACATAAACATTATAATTCGTAATAATAGAAGCGAAAAGAATTTTGTTTATTCATGATTTTGTGTACTGTCTTATCTGCCTTTAATTTTTTTATTCATCCAAAATGTTTCCGGCCGCAGTTGAAATGTCCGAATCCCAATGTAACTTTCTGGCTGTATACCCGGTGAGCATTGTTACATGTTTATTATTTACATTATGTATTAGTTTATTATTTACTCTGAGTGGCAGTGCAACTGTTATGGACAAGCGTGTAGCTTACCGTCAGAGACACGAATTGTTCGTTCCGTCACTTGATATTAAAAAGAAGAATCTTGTGGTTACTGAAAACAATATTTCCACTCCATTACGCTAATAATATTGACTAAATTCTTCCAAATCAACTCAAAAGAATATTATCATTTACTTAGGGCAAAAATCTTGAAAAAAAAAATAAATATGAAAAAGTATATTTCTTAGGTACTAATTACAACTAGCACAAATATTATAATGTAGGTATTCTCTAATACTCTTGAAGCACGAAATCCGTCGTTAAGGCCGTTTTCCAACTATGAATGATCTACAGACTTGAGTTGCCAACGGGTGGGAATGGCCTCGTCTCTTCGTTGACGGACTTGGAGAGCAGTCCCGTAGGCCAAAGTGCAATTATGGATTTCGAGGCACGGGAGTTCGACATGGTGAAACTTTTCGAAGATGTGTGAAATTTCCAACCCGCATTGAGGAAGGGTGGAATATGACCTTAAACCTACATCCATACTGTGCCATACCATATCAGTTTAGATGAGCTCACGCTGAGCAGTAAAACGAGGAATAAAAATACTGTTCTTGACTGTCGTCTTCACAAAGTCACAAATTCATTTTAAGGGGCAATGTACACGCTACTATAATAATATTCCGGTTGATATTCCAAACTTGCCATTCATGAGGTATTGGAAGTATAGTGAAACAAAAACTGTAAAAATATGTGAATATAATTATTAGAATACTTTTTTTATTAAAAATCGTTTTTCTTTTACTGGAATTCCATCTATTTGCCAAGTTTTATTGAAATCGGTTAACGAAAAGTGCGCAAAACCGGATTCATCCCCTAGTTTGCCACCGATGGTAAGCTACACGCCTGTTCATAACAGTTACAGTGCCACTCAGAGCTTTAAATCGCAAAGATCTGAGGGCTCATTGCCACTGCGCCCGTCACCCAGAGACATAAGTTGACAAGTACCATGTGCCTGTATTTACACCAGTACCCTTACTCTTCAAAACTGGAACACAGTAATGCTAACATTGTTTGGCGGCAGAAATCGGTAAGGTGGCAGTACTTCGCTGGACGAACAAGGAGCTCTAGTGCTACAAAAAGTTATTTGTCATATAATGCTGCAATGTTGTTGTTTGATGCGAGCGTTTGTATTAAAACCTGTGCAAGCGAGGAATCTAATATGACTTTAACTCGCTTCGCTCGTGGTTCAAGCCACGAGACGCAAAACAACTTTGCTGCAGAGCGAAACATACAACTTTTCACCGCTATAGGAAGGAAAATGTGTATGAAAAAAAAACAGTTGAACTGTAATAAATCGGTTATATTCATTCATACGTCAAAAATAATTTAATAAACAATATTAGTTATCGTTGTCATTTTAATGGCAACAATAGTAAGAATAAAATATAGCAACGGATTTATATTACAAATTAAATAATGTACGACAAATCGCGTAGTTGAAAATGTCGTTATGTTTTTTTCGTCTAAAGAAAAAGTTAGGTGCACCCATTGACTTACAAATAAATGGACGACGGGTCTAATACAAAAACCACGAAAAAAATGTCCCAAGTCAACCTATTCGAAATTTAAATTGTAATGTCATCGCAGTATCGCGCTGTCCGTAGAACAAATGAAGACTAAAGCGGAGTGTCGCGCTCTGTATACGATTTTAGCGCCTTACAAGTGCGGACACTTTTTAGCGCGGACCCGACGTCCATATAATTGTAAGTCAATGGGTGCACCACAGTCCATCGTCAAGTTCCAAATTCAAAAAAAATACCTTTTCCGCTCTAGCGTAGAAAAAAACACTTGTGAGTATCGAGTTCCGGAGCCAACAAATAAACGCGATTTAAATCCGGAAAAATAGTTTCATTCCCAACACTTGTGAGGTGAAAAGTAAATTTAAATAGGTACAACGATTTCAAGTATAATTTGCTTCATGTATATTATTTGACTTCGACTTTGACAGTGGGATGTGTCTGAATATACTTTGATAGTAAATGTAAATAACATTTCTTTTATATCTTTGCTTTTTCCTCCAGAGATTTATTGCTTTCTTAAACTAATAGACCCCATTACGCGTATACATACGTAATAATGTACACGCAAAGCGAATAATATTGAACCAATAGATACTATTATGATTCTCCAATTGGAATTTCGCTACGTCTACACTCGTGCATCTACAGTACTTTTTCACATATCGTTAGTATCCGACAATCGCGCCAACTTCATATTGACATTGTGACAAATTGTTAGTTCCATTCAAAGAAAACAGCAAGTGATTTATCAAGTAATTCTTTTGTTGTCTGCAATTTGTTACGACTTAACTCATCCATAATAACATTACGTACTTAAATTACTTTGTACACTCAGTCACAAAAATGGTAAAATTGAACGCTATGTAAGTGACGTAAGGTGCATTAAAAAAATTGCTACTGGTCCACCATCTTCCTCATACGTGCATTACTTTCTCGGTGTATTTTTAAAAGTTAATGTTGCGTGACGGACGATATTTTGACAGTTACCATTAGAATTAAAATATTGGTAACTCTTAAATTGTAATATACAAAACATCTTAAATTATATGTTTGTTAACTCGGAGATCACTTCATTCTTATAATTCCAACCGCCTAACCCTCTGGTGTAAAGAAATAGAACCATAGAGAAAATTCAAACCTTGGAAATAATTTTTTATATACATATATTCTTGCAGAGCAAATCAGGACAACCCTCATCAGCTGCTGGTAAATGATCCCAACACTATCACATCAGCTCCGTTTATCAAAAATGCTTCCATTAAGATCTTGATACATGGGTTTTTAGGTAATAAGGATAATACGCCTAATTCTGAATTAAGACCAGGTAAGTAACGTACATAGAGTATAAATAAATCTCATCGCACATACCTACTCTTGACATAATCTGCCTCCATGGCCGAACGGTTACCATTGCCTGCCACATCGAGGTTCCATTTTCGATTCCCGGCCCGGGAGAAATATTTATATGGCCTACATTTAATTATCTCATGAGTTTGGGTGTAATTTGTGGTTATCTATGTGTGTGTCCATGGCACTCGCTACACAGGGTTTCCCTAGTGCGGGGCTATGTTGAAACTGTGCGTTATTATTATAACGTGTTTTGGTTACAGTCTAAAGTTTAGAGGAGACCGGTGTTCAGTAAGTGTACATTTGACCTCCATCTCGCCTGATTAAAAGTGACGATAAGGTCGATGATGGAACATGCTCACTTAAATAATGCCTATTCACTAATGCCTCACTAGGGTTTCCCTAGTGCGGGGCTATGAGAGTGTGCGTTATGTATTTACTATTATTATATAAGTAAGTTCTTTGTAATTTACACCGTTACTACCACAAATGAAATAAAGTTGAATTTAAATTGTGCTTTTGACTATCAAATCAAATTAAACTACAACACTAAACCCAATCAAATCAATTTATCTACATGGGTAATTTATCTACACCATATTTTATCTACATAGGTGAATTAAAAAACGTGGTAGGTACATCAAATAAAGTAAGGCGAGACAACATTTCGTATAATCCGAAGCGCAATACGTTTAAATTTACTTTGACTGCACTAAAAGGACCCGTAACGTGTCCTGGATACATCTGTTATTTATGACACGTTGCTTGTTAGCTATACATGCGTCCTACAGCTATAGGACTATTGTGCTTCATGCAGACATTTTATTTAAAAAGATAAGTAATACAATGACTAATTCAATGAATTAAAAGTAATTCAATGACTTTTAAAAGTTGCTTGCCTCATCTGGGAATCAAACTGACCAAATACGAAAAAAAACAACCTTCTTAAAAAATGAAGGTTGTTTTTTTTTCCTATTTGGTTTTTCGTACTTTTGGTTTTGGTAAAATTACCCAACGTCTACTGCCTCTTTGTAAGAGAAATATCGAAATAGGTGGAGACTTTACCTTATTTATATGTAACTCTTTAATTCAATACTCCGAACAAACGCTCTGAAATTTCCCCGAAATGCATAGGTGGTCCTAAATTAATTAATAACCACCTCCCGAATACTTAAAGGATGTAATTCGTTAGCATTACGAGCAGCAGTGCAGTTTCGTCCCAAGCCTCGATGCATGTTCGAGTGCGAAGGAAGATGCCAGTCAGCCCCGCATCCCGCACTTTCGGCAGCCACCCTCTGGGGTTACCTTTTTTTTCTATATCTATGGGGGTTACCAAGTGGGAGGGAGTAGTAATGGACGCACGAGGCTCTTCGGTCTCACCGTCCCTTTTTATACCAGCTTGCACGCGTGCACTTGCTAGTTTCTTTAACGTCCGCTTTATTACGGAATACCGCAACCCGACAAACACGACAAGCCTCCGAAACGAGTTGGCGCCAGCGCGCCGTATCTTATGCGATCTCCTCCCAGTTCCTTGTGTGTAGAGCGCGGAGGTCTTTCTCCACTTCAACCGTCCATCGGTTTCTGGGCCGGCCAACCCATCGTCGATCATTAGAACGTCTCATGTAGGCCTTTTTCACCGCCCTGTATGCTGGTATCCTTTAGAGGTGTCCGAGCCAACGGAGTATTGCAGACTTGATTCATTATTATCATTTCATAGATAGATCTAATTCCTTGCACGGCTTATTATGAAACATCTGATGAAAGGCGACATATGCATTCTACCATCCTCACCTCCGGCGCACGAACCTGGTCACTGATAGCTCGACACAAATCCAAACTTGGGATCTGCCAACGAGCTATGGAGTGCAGCATCTTGGGAGTCAATTATTATAAGTACAAAATAAATTTCATTCATTCAATTATTCATTCAATTATTCGTTCATTCATTCATTAACTCATTGATAATTTGATATATTAATTGAAAATACCGTAGATGATTTTCATATTAGGGCTAGTTATAATACCAAATTTTACTTTATTGTGCCCTGGCTATGATATTAAGGTATGTAATATTGGTACATTTTAGAGTACATGAAATGCTGCAACTACAATATTATATCCGTGGACTACGAACCATTGACTCGAATGCCGTGCTACATTGAAGCTGCTTATAGTACCGAGCTAGTGGGAATGTGCACCGCCCAGCTGGTTGATATATTAGTCAAGAACTACGGTTTCGACCTGTGCTCAATACATCCCATTGGCTTCAGTCTAGGAGGACATGCTGTGGGGTTCTTAGGGAATTACATAAAATCGGGACGTTTTGACCGCATAACAGGTGGATATTTTAGATTATTAATAATTTGAAAATCATTAACTTTTCGGTGAAGTAAAATATCGTAGTGAAAACTGCACGTCGAATAAAGTGTGACGTCCCAACCCCTATTGGGCATGGCCTAAAACCCGTGACCAGCATTGGGACGTATGAAAGAGTCGATAATGATGTGTTAAGATTATTATTGATTAAAATACCCTAATAATGTTTTGTCACTGTCGTCAATGAATACAATTAACAAAAGTACTATACATACATACATATTTAAGTATCTCGGTAATTCTATAATTTCCATTATGGATATACGAAATCAAGTCGTGGTGGTAAAAGGAATGTGTATGTTATGTGGGTAGAGGTACTCATGTCTCCACTGTACAATATGGGTCCACTCCTATAGTAAAGATATGTGTCATACGAGTGCTGATGGGAGTGACGCGAAGGTTTGTCAGGAGCGTAGCAGATGCAAGTTCGTGGTCTTTATCTACCCCGGTAGAAATTGACTCACTTAAATCACTGATTTAGACAAGTGAAAATATTATATAACAAAGTATCAGAAAGCTAAAACTAATTATGTGAAAGTTGTAACCACTTTTGTTTCCCAGATTTCTCAACACACAAGTTTACACAAAAATTATTCCTAAAAAAGTTCATATTTTGTTTCCTTTATCTTATTTGCAGGTCTCGACATTGCGTTACCACTATTTATGACGTCGAACAAAAATAAGAAGTTAGACGCTAGTGACGCGAAGTTCGTGGATGTTGTGCATACCAATGCTGTGATGTGTGGTCATTTCGAGCGATGTGGTACAGTGGATTTCTTTGCTAATAATGGCATGATACAACCTGGCTGTAAATTTAAAACCCGTACGTATCATTCACATTCTTTTAAGAGTCGGTACTATCTGAGCTCGAATTAAAATTATTCCCGTACAGAATAGGTTCTATTGCGCGAGTGGAACGGCAGGCACACTGGCTTTATTTCAGAATTTATTTTTTTACAAACCAAATTAAAACCTTTTGAACAAATGTATATCGTATACTATACGTGTTTCATTTAGTTCACTTGATATAAAAAAAAACTTTGGTGTATGTAAATTAATTAAATACAGCAGTTTATTTTTTATTATGAAGATGTTTAGGAATTGTGTTTTCACACCGTATACAAATCAGTGTACATGTGCGTTATTATTCTAAGTGTACATATATGTTCAATTTTGCTATATATTTTTTCGAAGTGATTGATTTCACTCTTTCACATTTGAGGTTGCTAGTCTCTTAGGGCGAGTTATAAGACTGAATCACAAATGCCTTTTACCACTCTAAGCCGTCTTTGAAAAAGTAAAAAATTATCTATGACATCTGGCTTGCGATTTTCTCGTGCGGGGTATTTAAAACTCAGTTTAATATTTATTTTTTTGTTAGCGTTATTATGCGTATTTATGTAGCGTATTTATGTTAGCGTACGAACGTATTATATTAGAAATAATTCTATGTAATCTATCGTAAGCTACTAAAAAAGGAAATGAAACTATTTTTCGGATCTAAATAGGATATATATTTGTTTGAAAAAACATTTCAATATACGCGATCCGGATAAATAGTTTTTTGTAGGTCTAAAATCAAAATTATAAAGCATGAATAATAATATAAACATCTAAGTTGGCATTCTACTGCACTTAAAGTTCCTTGAAACTTAATTACATAAATAACAATAGACACAATGCGCAAATCGACAGTGTAATGGTAAATTAATGTAAGGGTACCAATAAAACCAATGTAATGGTAAATTGTAAAAATCTCACAAATCCTTTGGTGTACTACATGTCAGTGGCGAGGCGCCCTTAAAACTCGATTCCCACTGGCTTGACTAAAATTTTCCGAGTATTATCAAAAGATAAACTAGACAGCGCGCATACCCCATCACTTCAAAATCTTAAATTCAAAATTTCTAATAAATCATTAATAAATGCGGGATACAGTCCTTGGGAATACGACGTACTGTAGCCTTCCCGATCTCAACCAATCAGCAGCACGAATAAGCCGACGTCGTTTCGGCTTTCAATTCATTCATGAAATCTATTCGTTCTTATAAAAATACATGCACACATTTGCAACAAACCATGGTGGCCCATAACTGAAAGATTATCGGGTTGTTGTCGAATAGCATTCACGTCAATTAACATCTTATTTCCACTTCGGTACGTTTTAGTTTTAAAGACTGCGACTTCGGCGATAGCCGCCAACTTACAGGAAAAAACCTAAAGTTTATTCCTGTAAGTTGCCAGCTATGCTATTAATACAACTAAATTCTAAATAAATTTTTATCTGTGCTTAGATGTGCTGTGTCGTGCGTTCTACTCAATTTATTTGAGTTATAATTTTTATGAAAGAATATATTTATCTTTCATTTATTCTCGCGAGAATAAAACATCAGACATTAGATTTCGAAACGTTTTTACAATTTGACATTGTTGGAGTCTGATTTGCCCGCGTATTTAATTATTACGATTACGACGTTTTGTTTTGAAATTTCATTAAAATTAAAATGAAAGGATTAATATATTAATCTCTAAATATTTTTCTGCTAATGTTTATCCATATGGGGAATTCAATAAGCCCACTAAAACGCTCAAGATTGTTAATGCTGACCCAGCAGGCGACAATAACATTAATGAAAGGTGCAAAAAGGTATGCAACTTATGGACAAAATTATGGATTATACGTATATTACAGTTAATGCATGGTTCGTTTTTAAGTTATCTCTAACTTGACCTATTCTTATTGGTGTCGATAGCTTGCTATTCTATTGTAAGGTTGTATTGTAAAGTTGTAGCTTGCTATTCTATTCTATTGAAGGAGGAAGGTTTCAAATTATTTAATGGTTTTTCTTTCTTTATGTGTTAGTTATCGCTTTGATACGTTTTACGCTGTGTTGTGGATTTGAAAACGAGTCGTTCTGCGTTTATGACGGAAAAATACACGCCCGAATTCTGTTGCTATAATTACGATTTTAACGCTAACGCGTTCGATGCGTTTACTGTGGCGAAAAATTTGTAATCAGGCTTACGTAAAGAACGTAGATGTTCGTGAATTCGTGTTATTATAATAAAATTAGTAGCAAAATTTGCTTCATCGTTGCAATTTGAAACTTTGTTTTTAAATATTTGAAGTAAGTAATTTACTACATTTGGCACTCAATTTAATAGTGAAATGCAGTGTATCTTGTATTGTAACAAGTGTCACCGAGACACCTTTTTAACGGGAAAAGAAGTTTTTGTTAAGTGCTTTTAGTTTTGCTCCGGCTTTACTACATGTAGAAATCAATACTATCATATCAATGTAATGGTAAATTACAAAAATCTCACAACCCGTGTGTTGTACAAAACTTTTCTCTATCTAGGTCCTTGAAAATGTTTAAGAAGAAAAATTCTTGCTTGCTTGCAAAATCATAACAATGTCAGTTTTTCACATACGCATAATTACGAGATATATTTGATGTTACAGCCGCTGACCTAATATCATATATTAAGAGTAAGTGTACCCTATATATACATTTTTCATGATACTAAATGACGGGACGAGCAAGTCGTACGCCTGGTGGTAAGCGATACGCCTGTGCATAACAGAGCTTTAAATTGCAATAACTCCCCTCGGGGCGTAATGGACTGCCACTGGGGCATTGCCATTGCGCCCATCACCCTGAGACATAAGGTGAAAGTCCCATGTGCCTCTAATTTCACCAGCACCCTTACCCTTCAAAACTGGAAAGCAGAAATTCTCATATTACCGCTTGGTGGCAGAAATAGGTAAGGTGGCAGTGTTTCCCTGGACGAGCTCTTTCACAACGAGCTCTACTGCTACGCAAATCATATTATTCAGATTCGTAAAATATCATAATAATTTTATTTTTTTACTAACAAGACTAAGGTTTATTTAAATTATCAATTTATCTGTTTCAGATTATGCTAGTAAGTACCTTTATCTGAAGTGCTACTCGTATAAATCTAGGACGGTCATTATCCCATTTAGGGTCAAAATACACAGATCTCAGTGGTACCTAAGTGGTTCAATTTCAATCGGTACTTGGTAGATTTAAAAACCGAAGTTTTCTTAATTATATCTGATCAGAAGATTCTAGGCAGTGAGCTCGGGGCTAAATTTTTTATTCTAGTATTCTCAATACAAGCAATCTCGCAATTTGAAACCAAGTCATTGTCGAGAATTATTATTTTTATTCATATTTATAATAAAAAATATTATTATTTTATTTTATTTTAACTTTACTGGTACAGTTACACACATCAGACACATCATAACACAAAAACATTGTGTAACTAAATGACGGGACGAATAAATCTATTCTATTTTTAAAAAGAAGGTTGGCTTCTCTTTTAGAATTTTGCCAATGTCTAGTCAGTCATGGGAGTTACACTTTTATTTATTTTCCAATGTTTAAACATTTACCGCTGCTCTTTAGTCTATTCCAATTCTGAAACAATACAACACGACACAATATAGGTACCATCACCATTAATGATATAAATAAAATAAAAATAAATAGTGTTATAATTTAAGTTTGTTAATACTAATAAAATCAGTCATTAATTTCAGTAGAGGATTTGAAAAGACATATAGCAGAAACTGGAAATTTACGGGACGCGGAATGGACGGTGGAAGACTATCGTAGATGGAACAAGTTCTGGAAGGGCAGCTGAAAAATATATGGTCTGGGGTACCTTCATCTAGGCCACATTCACAAATTGAGTTATCCCGTATTCTAAGTTTTGCCAGATGGACCGGGGTGCAGGCATGACCAAGGCGAAGTCGGCATATCGTAGAAGTTACAGATTTACTGAATCCTTTAAGGTTAAAAAACCAAGGTTTTTTGGGGATACTTATTTGGATATCAGCATAGTACTTGCCCTTGATAAGCTTGATTTTATTCCACTCATTGCTCCATGAGGAAAACATATCATTGGTAGCTAAAGGCAGGAGGTCATAGGTATATGTCCTATAATGATTAAGGCAACCTGTTTGGATAGCGTTTTTCGCCAATATGTCTACGGTTTCATTGCCTTGGATCCCGCTATGACCTGGAATCCACGCCAATACAACCTGAATGTTATTACTATGGCATTGATACAAGACCTCCTTGATCTTCAGGATATTATGGAATTTACTTTTACTAACAAATTGGTTTGCCAGAATAGCCTGTAAACAGCTTTTTGAGTCTGAAAAAATTATACTTTTGTTCAGTTTGTGAGATTCAACATAACTGAGAGCTTCAAGTAGGGCAGTAGATTCTCCTGTGAATATTGATGCCTGAGATGGGCATTTACAGTTCAGAATAATTTCATATTTTGGGATCCATACAGCCGCACCGACACAACCATCAGCAGCTAGCTTGGAAGCATCCGTATACATAGTCAACCAGCCCTGCCAGTCCTTAGCCAAGGCCTTATTAAACTGTCTGTCTGCAACAGGGGAATCTTTGTAAATACCAAAGTCCAAGATTATCTCAGGTTTAAATATTATTACATCATAAAGACAAGAAAAAAGGGGATTTTTAGCGCATTGGAAAACGGGAGAATTGATTTTGATAAATTTGTGGTAACTTTTAAGAATGCAGGGTATATCTTTGATTTGCCAATATTTAGAAGATCTAGTTAGATCAGACAGTTCGTGAAGCTTGGCCAGAAGAGGGTGAGGAGATAGTTGCGCCACCTTGTACAAAAATCTATCAGCGAGAAACTGCCTTCTTAAAAAGAGAGGGGGTTCCACACACTCAACCTGGAGAGCATTTATTGGTGTAGACTTCATGGTTCCAATGATGAGACGGAGACACTTTGATTGGATTTTGTCCCACAAATTGAGGGCAGTTTTATGACACGGTTCCAATAAAAACGAGCCGTAGTCAAAGTGACTACGGATTATGGCATTGTACAATATTTTTTGACAGAATGGGTGGGAACTCCACCAAGTGCCTGACAGGGAGCGGAGAATATTAATGTTAGTCTCACACTTGTTGGCAATAAAGTTTAAATGAGGGACGCCCGTCAATTTGGAATCTAGTATGAGCCCCAGAAATTTGAAATTGTCAAAGATTGTTATACGCTGGTCTAGGATATTGACTGGAACTTGTGGGGTAAACTTTTTCCGGGAAAAAACCACTACACCACTTTTAGGGGCAGACAAAGAAAGACCATGGTCAGTTAGCCAATCGCCTAAGTACTGTAAAGCAGTATTCAGACGGAGACCGATGTCATCCAGTGACGAGCCGTGGGCATAAATAGTCAGATCATCAGCATATTGGAGGATACTACAAAAACTGTTCACTGATCTCTCCAGATCATACGTATAAATATTGTACAGCAAAGGACTGAGAACAGATCCTTGCGGAAGGCCCCTCCAGACGTTCCTTGATGCGACAAAGTTTCCTTGGAAACGAAACAAGCATGTCCTACACGAGAAGAGATTAAAAATGAAATTGGTCAATCTTACCGGGATGCTCAGCTGATGCATTTTTTGCATGAGCAGGGGAAGAATCACACTATCATAAGCAGCGGAAATATCCAAGAAAACACCAATCAGAGACTCATTCTTTGAGAAGGCCAGGCGAATATCAGAGACCAGGAGGCTTATGCTATCCATAGTGCCGCTACCCTTCCTAAAACCAAACTGGCTTTTAGCTAAAATATCTCTATTTTCCAAGAGCCACTCCAACCGATTTTTAATAAGATGCTCCATGATTTTCGCTAGGGTAGAGGATAACGCAATGGGACGATAGTTGGAAGAGTCTGTAGCATTTTTGCCTGGTTTCAAAATAGGGATAACCACATGCGTCTTCCATTCCTCCGGAGGACACCCTGAGAGGAATATGGAGTTAATAATTTCTAAAAATGTCATCTTAGCAGAAGTCCTCGCATTTTTCAAGAAGGAATATGGTATTCCATCTACTCCTGGGGAGGAGTCCTTAAGTTGGTCCAAAACTAGGAGCAGTTCTGAGAACGAGAATGGGTCATTCATACGATCTGGAGAAGCCAAGGTGGCAGCAAATGCAGAAGCCTCCTCTTGACTGGGGACCCATGGAGGGCATAGCTTGTTCACAAAACCATCGAGCCAACATGAAGGATCGAAGCTGGAGGGATCGTTATTGCGTTGAGAACAGCGAAATCTTTTGATGTTTTTCCAAATGATAGAAGGAGGAGAACGGGGTGAAATGGTTTCGCAAAACCGCAACCAACCAGATTTTTTCTTCTCTGAAAGAAGCCGTTTGGTTTGGGCCGCTGCATTCTGGTAGTGTAAAAAGTTATTTGTGGTCATAGAGCTGTTATACTGGGTTTCAGCTTCTTTTCGTTTAGTAACAATAGTAGTACACTCGTGATCCCACCATGGAGGGGAGGAGATAAGGCTCCGAGGTGAGTTTTTAAGGGGGATAGAGGCCATTGCGGAAGAATTGATTGATGCTACAAATCTGGAATAGGTTTCTTGAAGAGATAAATCCCCAACACTGGGCAGGGACTGTAGCTCTAAATCCAGACATTGACCATACTTGTCCCAGTCAGCCTTAGAGGTGTTAAATTTTAATAGAGAAGAGTGTTGCTTCGATGGAGTGCAGCTGCTTGTTACAGACACGAGTATGGGGAAATGATCACTTCCGAAAGTATATGGAAGAGTCCTCCAAGAAGAACTGGGCACTAGGCTTGGAGAGCACAAAGTAATGTCCACAGCTCGTCTTGTATCCTGGAGAGGGAAAGATCTACGTGTCGGAGATCCATCGTTGAGGAAACATATATTAAACTCATCAAAGATGTCTAATAAAAGATAGGAGAATGTGTCATTTTTATAGGAACCCCAAGCAGTGTGGTGACTATTAAAGTCCCCAAAGATCATGAGAGGGGAGGTAATACTAGAAAACAATAGATTAAGCTCAGGAATGAGGGAGTGATGTGGGTGGGGAATATAGACAGACATGAATGAGATATTAAAAGCCCTGACTGCAACAGCATTAATTTCATTAGTATTGTGGTCAGGGAGGGAAATTTTATGGAAAATAATTGAGTGTTTTATTAAGATTAGAGTACCTGCGTACCCATCTGCACGATCCTCTCGGACACATGTATAGCCCGGGATACGGAAAAAGGATCCCGGAACCAGCCACGTCTCCAAGAGGACGATGATAGCGGGTTTATATTTATTTATAAGGTATATGAGATCAGGTTTTTTAGGTCTAATACTCCGACAGTTCCACTGCAGAAGGTACAGATCCATTGTAAAATTTATTGACGATAGGGGAAAGTTTATTAAGCACGTGGGACGGTAAATCAGTGTCATCAAAACGGGATAAGATATTTAAAAGTGTAGAAAGTAGTAAATCGAGGAAGTTGTCATTATCTGGTGTATTAGACCTATTTAATAAGGCGGAGCCGTGAGGTAAAGAGGAAGAGGGAGTTGCGATTAATTCCATGTGGGTTTGGTTATCATAGCCTGAGGTTTGGCGGGGTGGGTTTGGTTTCTGGTTTATTGTTACGGTTTTTCTATATGAAATGGTGGCTGGACGGGAGGGTTGTTGAAAGGACAATGAGTCAGATGGTATATGTGTGGATGTAGATGCAACGTCGGCGAAAGATCGTCTGACGGCCGGGAAGCGAACAGAGGCTTCTAAGTAAGAGACTTTTTCTTGTGACATCACAAGCTTTATTGACTTTTGCCTTGATAGTTCGGGGCAGTTTTTGTCGTTAGATTGGTGCAAAGCTGAACAGTACAAACATGTTGGGGTGGTTACACTACATGTTTCCCCAGAGTGGGGTTGGGCACATTTATAGCACCGAGGTTTGTACCGACATTGAGCTTTGACGTGGCCAAAGCGGCAGCATTTCAAGCATTGGATGGTGGGGAGGAGATAGCTTTCCACAGGGAGAGAGGAGTAAAACAAGTAAACATGCTGTGGCAAGGACTGGCCAGAGAAAGTGACTACGACTGATTGAGTGGGGATCCACTCAGTAGTATCATTGTGTGACACCTTTCTATTTAGACGGCGGGCTTTAATGATATCACCAGTTCCTGAAGGTAAGACTAGGCTCTCTACTAGTTCGTCCATTGTGAGGTCATTTGGTATACCTCTGATTACTCCCATGCGGGTAATTATGTGGGTGGAGATGATAGCCTTGTAGTCCGCCTGACCGAGGATTGGATTTTGTACAAAATTGTTTGCTTCATGTGCTGAAGCAAATTGCATTGACAGCCTATTGCGACCAACAGCCTTCAGGCTGCCATTTATAATATTTTTAATTTTATTTTTAAATAGAAATTGGCCAAACTTGACAGGTCTTAGTGTTAAACCACTATCTGGGGCAGACTCCAAACGTGAGACTTGAACTACAAATGGACCTTTATCATTAGTAGAATAAATTTACTTTTCCTCGGCATTGGGGTGCGTATAAATGGTTTGTATAGATGCCGATGGGGTTACAAATTCAGTAACGAGTTTTTTTGGGGTACTGTTATCAGTTTCTGCTATACAGCTTTTCCGTTTACTACCAGATATTGTAGGAGTAATCGATGTAAAAATGGCGGCAGCGGCCCCGACTCCCCGGATATATCCGGAGGGTCAGTACCGCCTCCTTCAACCTTCATATCAGACATAAAACTACATATAATTTACCTTCACCACGCAAAACACACACAACACAATAAACGGCACGCACAGATATGGGAAATCTACAGAAATAAACAAATTCGCAGTTTAGAGAGTAAGAAAAGGGTCAACAAAATCTTTAGCAAAAAAAGAGCACGTGTATCTTCCAATCACTCTGACCGAATCTCGTTTATTCGACGAATAAATCGTGCCCTTCTTTGTGGTAGGTACGTCACACGCCTGTGCGTAATAGTTGCAGTGCTCTTGTGAGCTTTAAATCGCAAAGATCCGAGGGGCACCGCCACAGACCACATAAATACGGCACTGCCATTGTGCCCGTCACTCTGAGTTATAAGTTGAAAGTCCCATGTGCCTCTAAATTCACCAGCACCCTTCCCCTTGAAAACCGGAACAAAGTAATTCTCATATTACCGCTTGGTGGCAGAAATAGATAGTTAAGTAAAGACAGAAAGAAAAACGTTTATTCATTAAATTGAGTCACTACTCACGTAAACACAATATTTAACACTAAAACAACAAATTACTGCTTGCTTTTAATTTAGTAAGTGTGTATAGTGGCGTAAAAGAAGAAAAGGATACGACTCAGCAATATGTCTATCTCGGGCGAGACAGACGCTGATTTTCAATCGTTTCTGTTCCAGCATCGGCCGCGTCTTACGGAAATCGTACATGCTATTTGTATCCTCTGCGTACACTACATATTTACGATACATGTGCCTAGGTTTAGTTTCTAGTATTTAAGCTTTTACTGTAATTTATACCTTAGCTCATTTAGATTGAAATAAATCATAATAATTCAGACATTCCTAAACAGCAATATAAACGTGACACCCAATTACATCTACCAGTATACACAGCATTCCATAATAATCTCAGTACAGAGTACTAAAAAATCCGACCTCAAAAGTACGTGAAATTACATCTATTTGCCAAGTTTTATTGAAATCGGTTCCCGGAAAGGGCGCAAACCCAGATTCATCCCCTAGTTTGCCACTATAAGGGACTTGACACAGGAGATAATAAAAATTGGTTCTCACTACTCAAAGTATTGTATTATATGTTGTAGTATTTAAAATTTTTATTGAATTGATATTCAATTATTTTTTGTGAAATTACTCCACTAATTTGTTATAATTATTAATCGAGAACAAAGATCGAGTATTCAGAAAAAAATCCTACAATCCGGCCGGATTCGAAACGACGTCTTCTAGCTTACCGTGCCAGACGCTATACCAACTAAGCCACCGAACGAACCAGCGGACCTCACGAATTTTTCTATGTGCTTGCGTCGTGTCTTTGTATTTGGTTTTTCAACGACTTTTTAGTCGTAGCGCCATCTATGAGAAATCTATGAAATATTTATCACCCAGTATACTACTAGTACCCAAAGGATATTGAGAAAGAAAACGCCTTGAATTGGAGAATATCAAAATCAAGCATTAAAATAATTGCTCCTTATAATAAAATTTAGGCGCTATTTATAAAAATTATAATGCGTGAATAGCCCTTCCAACCCTTGGAGGTGGATGATTTACTTCAAAATTAAATAGGACCACTATGGAGGTACCCTCTTTCCAATAAAAAAAGAATTATCAAAATCGGTTTACAAATACCGGAGTTATTGCGTAACACACGTACAAAAAAAAACATGCAGTCGAATTGAGAACCTCCTCTTTTTTGGAATATAGTGTTTTTTTTATAAAATGAAACAATATGAAGAAATAAAAACCCACAGAAGATACAAGGAAAGGAATCATTAACACTTTTGTGAAAACAATTTTGGCATAGTAAATTTTTTGGTCAATAGTGACTTGTCCATAGTAACTAATAAAATTTATGAAATATTTTTTGCAATGTTAATCGACTCAGTTTTATGTAAGGAGCATTTCATTTTATAGGGCGGAAAAAATCGGGAGAGCAGAAGTTGGTCAAATTTCGTGTAATGTTGGTCATACAAAATGAGTAATATTGATTTTTTTTAATGCTAAGAGACTTATTATATACAACTTATAGAATAGGGTCGTATTAAGACCTCTAATATAATAAGACCTCTATATAGGAATAAGACCTCTACTCAATGCTCAAGTCAGGACTTGAGTATGATTTAAAGCACTGAAAATCATGCTCAAGTCCTTGCCATTAGAGTTGTATTTCCAATGCTTGAAATCATACTCAAGTCTGCTCAAATCCTGACTTGAGCATTGAGTAGAGTTCTAGAATACGACCCTTAGTTTGTTATAATGATTAATTTATAGTACCGGAAGAGAAAAATTGGGACAACAGAAGTTGGTCAAATTCAATAAAAAAAAAATCATAGAAAATGAATAACATTTTACTAAATTTGACCAACTTCTGCTGTCCCGATTCTTTATCTCCAATACAACAAAATCATATAAGATAAGAAACTGATTGTATCAGTATTGAAAAAATTGGTCAATATTATTATTTTTTTATGAAACATCATTATTATTAAATTTGACCAACTTATGGGATGAAATAAATCGGACCGGCAGACTGTACTGAAGCTGAGTTGATAGACATTAAAAAAATTTGTTATGTTTTATCCATTTTGTATGAAAAACATTTTATGAAATTTGACCAACTGCTGCTGTCGCGACGTTTTTGGTCTCATACAATGAAATGATCTTTACATAAAATTGTGTCGATCAGCATTAAAAAATATTTTAACCAATTTTATTAATTTTTATGGACAACCCAAGCTGACCGAAAAATTGACTAAGGTATGTCAAAACCGTTTTCACAAAAAAAGAGGTAATGGTTCCAAAGACAGTTTCCTTGTACGATATTGTATGGTTTTTGATTTCCCCACACTGACCCATTTAAAAGAAAACACTGTATGAAAAACTAACAAAACATGAAATAGATCGTTATATTTCGAGCAAAATATTATGATTCTAATGTTTAAAATTACATAAGATCGATCGAAAATTTAAACACCTTATCTATGCTTTCCTGTAGAATAAACACGTGAAATAAAACTCATTCTTGATTATTACAGATGCGAACGTATGCAGCCACACTAGAGCAGTGCAGTATTTTGCCGAGTCTATAAACACCAAAGTTGGGTTCTACGGGATGAAATGCAACACATGGTTTGGCTATATTATTGGTTTGTGCAAACTGTTCCATGGAAACGAAGCAAAAAAACTCTTTGGCGAATATGTGCCGCTGAAGTAAGTTTTTATTTTCATTACTCCAGTAAGAAGTACTATTATACTAGTATAGTACTATTATGTTATATATACATATATATTTTATACATATACATTATATTATATACATATATATATATATATATACATATATGCGGGATATGACAGAATTGCTGTTGAAATGCTGATGGCTGGACAGGGTGCGAACGCTAGTCAGCTGTACCGCCTTTTCAACCTTTGTTGGTCAAGCGGTCGAGTGCCAGGAGATTGGGGCAAGGCTGTCATCATACCATTATATAAGGGAAAAGGGTCGCAGCAATACTGCAAAAATTAGAAGGAAGAATTAGAGGAATTGGATGCATGGATCAGGTCTTCTCCTTGCGAAATATAACCGAAAAGTTCTTGGCTAAAAGACAAAAAGTGTATTGCGCTTTTATAGACTTGGAGAAGGCCTACGCCAGAGTGTCAATGAAAAAATTGTGGTCGACATTGCCTATGTATGGGGTGGACGGCAGTCTAGTTCAGGCACTGAAATCTCTCTATGAGGATTCCAGTGCTTGTGTCAGAATAAATGGTGCTTACACTGACTGGTTCGATATCGGGAAAGGTGTTAAACAGGGATGTGTAGCGCTGCCATGGCTGTTCAACCTAATTATGGACAATTGTTTGAAAGTTTTGAAAGAGAGTACGTGTGGGCTGAAAATGAATAGTATACTTATTAAGTGCCTCCTATGCGCCGATGACCAGGTGGTATTAGCATCGTCAGTGGAGGAGTTGCAGGAGATGGTAAATATTATGCATGGTGCTCTTAAAAGGAAAGGAATGAACATTAATGTGGGAAAGACAAAAGTAATGGTTTTTGAAAGAGAGGAAGATATGACAAATAGCACGATATTGATTAAAGGAGAGAAAGTGGAACAAGTGAAAGAGTTTGTGTATTTGGGTTCTATGTTACGTGTGATGGAAAATGTGAAAGGGACATTGAAAGAAGAGTGAACGCAGGGAATCAGGCGAACGGTGCCTTGCATACCTTCATGGGCATCCAGAAAGTATCTAAAAATGCACGATTTACTATACAATTGGGAGGTGCTGGTTCCTACACTTATGTATGGTAGTGAATGTTAGGTTTGGCAGAAGAAGCATGAAAGTAGAATTAATGTAGTAGAAATGAGAGCTTTGATGAATATGGCTGGAGTGACTTGGATGGATAAATTACGGAACAGTGTGATAAGAGAGCGTTGCGGCGTGGAAGAAGATATAGTGACAAAGATAGAGAAAGGGATGCTTAGATGGTTCGGACATGTAGAGAGAATGAATGAAAGAAGAGTGACGAAACAGATTTATAAGACGAGTGCGAGCGGGCAAGTTGATAAGGACCGACCAAGGAGAACTTATCATGACCAAATTGAGGCCATCCTAAAGAAGGGCCAGGTCAAGAGTACCCTTAACCGACGAGCTTGTATGAAAGCATTGATGCGTGTTTATGAGGCGAAAGATGTGTGTCAGGACCGTAGCAAGTGGAAGACTGTTGTCTCTGCCTACCCCGAAGGGAAAAAGGCGTGAAGTATATGTATGTATGTATTTTATACATGAAGCAAAACAATCAATTTTCTTTGTTCACAAAAATGCCAAATTTCGCGTGTAAGTTTATTTAAGTGTGGATATTGCACACCGTCAAGAACACCCAGACCAGAACCAATTCCTAAAGTTCGTTTGCAAATTCGTCCTACCTGGAATCGCACCCGGGGCCTCCTCGAGTTCGTTAAAAGTCTACATACTAACACTCAAATTTAAATACAGAATAGTGTACATATAACCTTAACATATTTGATAACTTTGTATATTCACACGGTGTACTATATTGTTTGGCTACATTGTGTATTATTGCACAATTGCTGAGAAAACAAAAGAAAATCTTTAAATTCGTGAACAATAATTGGACGTAATGATAAAAACGTTCCCACATCATTGTTATTGCACTCGCCGGGGTACATAACACAATTTGTTATTACAAGAAGCTTTATTGTAGTCCAACATTTAACACATCCCTCTCTAAAAACAGTAGAAAATTCTTGCTATAGCAGCATAAAGTTTCTAGCACGATTTTTTTTATAATATCAAGCGATGGGACGAACAAATCGTGCGCCTGGTGGTAAGCGACACGCCTGTCCATAACTGTTGCAGTACCACTCAGTGATTTGAATCACAAAGATCTAAAGAGCACTCCCACTGCTCCCGTCACCCTGAGACATATGTTGACAATTCCTATGAGCCTATAATTTCAACAGCACCCTCACTCTTCAGAACCGGAACGTATAGATGCTCACATTACAGTTTAACGGCAGAAATAGGTAAGATGGTAGTATTTCCCGAGAGGAACTCTTTCACAAGAAGCTCTACTGCTACTAAGTTAATTAAGATTGTAAGGTTTACTATCCGGTCTATCTAATAATATACAATAATAATATCTATACAAGGGGGCTCTGCTATGTCGTACAAGATTTATACATATAATAAATCATATATAAAACGTTAGCCGGCAATAGCGCGTGGTGTAAGATATGACATCACACAATGTCATTCTATGTTTAAGTGCAGACACCGAAACGCTTCTTAAGACTTTCACTCAGTCCCCTACACTCACTGCCTAGACAGGCTAATGTAATAATCACGTCTGAGCTAAGTATGGAGTTTATTATCCGTTTTTTGTTACAACAGATTCTTCTGTGTTGTCAGTGGAAACAACACAAATTGCGTGCAAATTTAAGATGTGTGTACATTAAAGAAACTCATACGTAATAATAACAATAATGTGCCAGGTAATCACACCAATTTCCCTGTCCTCAGACTTGTTCTCTGAACGGTATATTTATATAAATTGTTGGGCCTTTTCAAGGCAAGAGTGAATAGGCATTATTTGGGTAAGCATGCTCCATCGTCCTCCTCATCGTCACTTTCCATCGCACAAATTTTTTAATAAAAGAAAAATAAAAAATACCAGTTCTCAAACTAAGGAATGTACTCTAAGAACACCCATAACGGAAGCAGTGATCGGATTTATCCTACCGGATATTGAACTCGGGACCCTTTCTTCCAGCACCCACAGGGCTAGTCGTTGGGCTGCCAAGGCCGCCAACATACGTAAAATTAAGTCTCCTATGACTGAAAAATCTACAATCTTATTTACCGCAGAAGTGTTAGCCTATGTTGTAATCACGGAAGACAAAACAATAGACACTTCCATCATTCCCTTAAGCCTCGATTACTATCAGAATCACTGTCGCCAAAACTCACAATGTCATAATTTTCAACACTATGAAATCTTGATAATGATAAGTTGTAGTTTCTAATTTAAAAAGAAGTAACAAATTCTGGACTGTTTGATTATTTAGTTAATTGAAACTTTACCCAGTTGGCATAGCGTTGAAAATTCAATACCGATTATTGCAAGTTATGTCGTTTTGCTTTTAAGCCAGTTACTCATTACAGAGCTGTATCTGTAACCTGACAGATACTGTAACGAGGTTCTAGTGTGTACACGTGAAACAGTCTTCACTCGCTACAATGAGTACCTACTTAGTTATCGTGGGCTCACTGCAAACCGCACGCGTTCCGCTCGCGGCAAGTTCACGAACCACGCAACATGCAACGGTTACAGTTTTAGTTTGCTAGTGAGTACCGGGTTGTATATTGAAATTTCATCAATGTGCTGGCATCTAGCGATCAATAGCCGAACGACGGTGAACGAATAATACCTACTCTAGTAGCGTGGAAAATTTGAGATGTTTACTTAGTAAGTAAAAAAAGAAGCGAACATATTGCAGCGGTATAAGGTTTACTCTTGTTTCGTTTCTTTGTTTCGTTACAAAAATCTGTTACGATGAACAGAAAACTGAAAATTCGTTAATATTAAATAAAATAAGACGATATGAAACAACGCCATGGATAATTTTAGGTGCGACTTGTGGAAATGCGAATTTTTGCATTCCATAGTAGTAAAATAAGGTATTTTTCCACGATTTACGAGGTTTTGTGTAAAATAACTGACTGGACCATAAGGTACAAGCGAAAAATGGCATACTGTGCTCAATTATGCGGAACTCCGCATGCTGTTGGCACACATGTCACGCCCACTAAGCACTTTTATTGTATTTATTGTCAATGATTGTAATCTATTAATGTCGTGAAAATGGCGATATGTGTAGACAAGAATGAGCAACAGAATTGTAAGTTTTTAAACAAATAAAAAATAAATTCCCCAGTTCAGAACAGTATCTGTGTATTTTCGACTTCATATCGTAGAAAGTGAAAAAGCAGCTGTTTAATCGATTGCAGATCCAAATGGCAAACCATAATGAACAACTACCAAGCATATTTACTATGACAAATATTAACCTATGACACCGTCACTTAACTTATTTTTCAACAATGGTGGTTCATTGTGAAAATGCTGTGATGTAAATTTTAAAATATGCATACATATATAAAATGGAAATATATAGATGTCCTACTCTTTTAAATAAAGATATGCTGTTTTCGTCTTTTTCAGTGCGAATGGGCTATATTACTTTCCCACAAACTCAAAACCACCATTTGCAATTGGTAGTTTACGCATATCAGGAAGTTATTCTGACAATCAAGAAGAAAAATCCGAAGAATTAGAAGATTTAACAATTCAAAATATAGAATTTGATCAAGAATATCCTCTAGAAATAGAAGAAATAGTTATGACATTGAAGTAATCGGAAATTTTAGGAACAACAACGTATGAAATTTGATTGTTTAATAAATTAAGCTATTTTCAACCGTTACATTGTTTGATGGATAGATAAATATCTTCCCACAAAACCTGAATGAAATAGAAAATAAAATACTATTTTAAATTTTTATTGAATTGATATGCAATTATTTTTTCGTGAAATTACTCCACTAGTTTGTTATAATTATTAATACAAAGATCGAACACTCAGAAAAAACACTCAGAAAAAATTCCTTCGATCCGGTCGGATTCGTTCCAACGTCTTCTAGCTTACCGTGACAGACGCTATGCCAACTAAGCCACGGAACGAACCAGCGGACCTCACGAATTTTTCTATGTGCTGGCGTCGTGTCTTTGTAATTGGTTTTTCAACGACTAGTCGTAGCGCCATCTATGAGAATTTTATGAAAGATTTATCACCCAGTTAGTGCCTTTACAGCTACCAGTCCTGGCGAGAGATGTCGCTTTTCACTGTATTTTAAATTTTTATTGAATTGATATTCAATTACTTTTTTGTGAAATTACTCCACTAGTTTGTTATAATTATTAATACAAAGATCGAACACTCAGAAAAAATTCCTTAGATCCGGCCGGATTCGAACCGACGTCTTCTAGCTTACCGTGCCAGACGCTATACCAACTAAGCCACAGAACGAACCAGTGGACCTCACGAATTTTTCTATGTGCTTGCGTCGTGTTTTTGTATTTGGTTTTTCAACGACTTTTTATTTGTAGCGCCATCTATGAGAAATCTATGAAAGATGTATTTGAAAAATGTTGTATTTACTGCAACGTTTACTTCAAAAGTACTTTTTCAAGAGCAAATATCGTAATATGCTAATTTTGATGAGTTATATGGTGACGGGAAAGTTGAATAAACATGTACATAGGTAATGCAAATCGTGTTAAAATAATTGAAATGCAATCAAACTCCACCTTTAAATTTATTTAGGATTGCATTAATGTGTGCTTGTTTACTTTATCAACCAATCAATCTGTAAATTAAACACACAATTTAAAAAATGCCCAATGGAGATTTTGATTGGTGTTCAATTTTATCTCTGGGCATCATTAATATATTGAATGATTGTATCGAACCACAGTTGAAATGTCCAAATTCAAACATAACGTTCTGGCTGTATACACGGTAAGTACATGCAGTGGTATAACATACGTGTTTATATTCTTATAAAAGTGTACTAGGATTATTTCACAATGATACAAATTAATTTTATTTTTGTTTCCACCATTTTTTTAAATTTTATTTGTTTAACACAAATTTAGAATTTCCGTTACCGCGTCTCCCCCATCCATGTGGTTAGATTTCAAACAAAGTCTTAAATTACGTAGTCGTAATTAATAGGCAATTAATTTGAATTGTGTAGGATACTTAGTTACTTTTAATTATTTTGTTAGAAATGTTATAATATTACCGGCACTTATTTTTTTTATTTATTTATTTATTTCAAGCAACTAGGACCCATAGATACATACCTTACAGACTAACATACATATAATATAACAATAATATAATAAAACAATAACAGAAATATTAAATAAATACCTTACGGACTAATCATAAATACAATATAACATGATAATATACATATAACACTATTTATTTACACGTATGTACTTCGACGTGTGACGCAACGTGGGTGTCCGGTAGCCGTCCTTGGAAACGCCGGTACATGACACCCTTCGGCCAAAAGTCTTCTCTCATGAAGGTCGACAGGTGTTGAGTTGGTACTCGCACCATAAATGAATTAAAATTCACATTGTGGCGCGATTCCAACCGCTCGACCCACAGGTTTGCGTTGGCCTTCACTCGCATGTACTCCACAATATCCGCAGACTTGGTGGAGTAATGAAGACGCGACACGTATAACAACGTCGTCGGTACCGCTGGACGCAATAAATGATTCGGGCCAGTCAGGGCGGTGCCACTAAGGTTTCGGCTGGTGTTCTTCTTTTTCTTTTCCACCTTTCGAAAGCCGTTCTCGTCGCACACGTCAACTCGTCTCGGTGGTACTGACGACGCAGCTCCAGATACGAGTTTCTTTTTCGGTTTTCCCTTCATTGGTTGCCTGTGTTATGGTTGTGGAGTACTAGGTCGGGCAGCGGCAACAGCTGCGTAATCACGTGGAGGGGTCGTCTCCGGCGGGGCGGGGTGCGGGGAAACGCGCGCGGCAACAGCGCCAGAGGTCGGTGATACATGCATGTGAGCCGACTCAAAACTGCTGAAAGAAGCATTTTGCGCCCCGCGACAAGTGTTCACGTTGCAGGCCTCAGGTGACCTACTTACCGAAGCCGCACTACTAAGTAATACAACTTGGGCACACAACTCATTGATGGTGTTGTCTGAGGCCTCCAATTTACATTGAACTTCAGCAAGGCTTGCTTTTAGGGACGTGATGTCCTTCAGCAGCCTGGTGACGTCGACGTGGTCGAACGTGACAGGGGGCAGCTAATGCAGCTCCTTCGCCACGAAAGCAGGCACGTCCTCTGGGTCGGTCTCCTTGAACAACGTAATGATGTCCTGGAGACTCTTCGCTCCTCCATCTCTCCGACGAGACGGCATCTGCTCGGCTTTGCCAAACGTCCGGAAAAGCAGCGCCTTGCCACTGCAAATCTCTTCTTCTTTGAAATTTAACTTGCAGATCTGCACGATGCTGACTTCGTCCATGGTATCTATGGCGTGTTGTATAAACGCCAACAGTTCGTTGGCTATGAGTTGCTGAGAACCCATAGTCAATTACGTGCAGCGGCTATTGCCGCGCGGGTCGCGAATTATTATAATTCTTATTGTGCAGTGGAGCACGTCCGAATCCGAGCGTGCACCGCACCGCAATGGAACTTATTCTAACCAACTTTTAAATTTAGCAAAAAAGTATATTGACTAATACTTGTTTGGTAAATATAAAAGTTGTGTGTGTAAAGAATTACAAAAAAAAACAAAACACAATAAACGCTATTTAAAAAAGTAGTGGAAAAAAAAACAAAGAAATAATTATATACAAAGAAAAATTCCGTCAATTCGATTAAATACGAACTAGGGTTCGTTGCCTCAACGTCATGACATACCATAAAAACGTCATGATAGTCTATAAACAAAAATATTGCAACCAGTGACTATAAATAATTTTATTTTTATTACTGGCGATGGCGTAATCTTACATTAGTAGAGGCTCTTAATTCATGTTACAAATTGAGGCTATCAGGTGGTGACCACACACATTCACTTGTTTTGTACAATATCACTAAAGTACATAATAATTTTCTATTTCAATACTACTTTCATGTAAAAAAACTAAATATTGTATAAGTACATCAAAATAGATTCCATATATAAAATGAACTTTAGTATAATTTAAAGTAATATTGAAGAAAATAATGAACGTATGGCTTAAAGTCCTATTGCGCTGTTATCAGCGCTTGAGATGAGGTTATCCTCACACATCTGTTACAGTTTAATATGTACATATATATAATTATTTTATTGTTATATTCAAGTACCTAAGTATGCTTGCATATGTTGTTCCGTGACCTCACTTAGGGTCTTAACTGAAAATCAGTGCTGGGAACACGTTGCGTTTTCCAGCAAATACTGAGTTTGTGACCCTTTTGTTACCGCGACTGGCACCACACAAAGTATCTCAATATTTAGTGTTCTTTTTATTATTTGTGTGAATAGTACTTACCTGTTTTAATTTTATCTAGTTTTTGTATATACATTTTTCTTTTGTGTTTGTTTGTGTTTTTGTTTCGTAATTATTTATTTATGTTTTACGTTGAATGTTTTGATCGTGTTTTGTTTTAGTTCTGTTTTGTTCCGTTTTCTCTTTTTTTTTTGTCTTTTGTCTTTTGTGGTGTCATTGTGGTAAACAAATAAATGTATTTTGTTTCTTTCTTCTTTCTATAATTATATTTAGATAACCTCTGAAATGGAGTTCAGATTTAAACAAAACTTAAATATTTATATTCTGGATGCCCATATGCCATGCCAACGAGTCTGTTTCTGACTGCTTATGGATTAACCAAAAGTTTTAGGAGTACTTGTGGCGTCATTTTGATTATCTTCTGCGTAAACAAGCTGGTATAAATCATTCCTGCAGACAAAATCAACATAATCCCTATCAACTGCTAGCAAATGATTCCAACTCCATGACATTGGCTCCGTTTGTCAAGAATTCTCCTGTGAAGCTTCTCATACATGGGTACACCGGCAACAGGAATCGTTCGCCTAATAAAGAATTAAGGTCGGGTAGGTACTTAATAATAATTCTTAGAACATGTGTTAAGTTTAGACCACAGGTACATTACATCGACATTTGCATTACATGCACTTTTTGAGTATTTTGAGTATGTATGTATTTGATACGTCTTCTGTCAATTAATTTAGGTAGCCAATTAATTTTAAAGCTTCTCAGCTGTGTTTTTTGTGCCCGCACGAGGGACACCCCGTGTCGCGAGTACCATGGCCACACACATAGAACACCACTACTTACACCCAAATTCACGAGAGAAATAAATATAGGCCAAACAAATATTTCTCTCGGCCCGGGAATCGAACCCGAGACCTCTGCGTGGCCGACTAGCATGGTAACCGTTTGGCCACAGAGACAGTCAAAGTAAAGGTGGAGTTTATTTATCTAAACTTCGAGGAACAAAGGCAGAAAGCGGACACGCCTTGCGACTTTATTTTTTGTCCTGGACTTTATTAGCAAATTTATTTAAGTAGATTAAAAACGTACGTTATTTGGGATAGGTAGTAGGTAGAGGTTAAATATATGTAACTAAACTTTGCGACGAGTTGCTGCAACCATCAATTTTTCGGAATATTTACAAAAAAGTTTCAAATTTTTGATAAATATACTCGAAGTACCTATCCCAAATAATGTCAGTTTTTAATATACTCATGTGATTTCCTGGAATCCCTAAAAAATCCGGGACAAACAAATATAGTCGTAAGACAGTCCCTACTGTCTGTCTCTATTTGTCGAAATTTAGCTCAATAAATTCTACCTATTCCGTTCACTGATGATTACCAACATTATAGTAATTATTATAGTTGTAAGTATCCAATGTTGCTAAAAGTTCTATGAGTGCAATTATCTGAAATGAACAATTAATATTAATAATTTATTTTAAGTATATTTTTAGTTTTCATGGTATATAGACAATTATTAATGCTCTACTTGTAAATTCATATAATTATGGTGCAATATAGGTGCAATGTAACAATGAAATTATGATCCTATTTTACTTGTATGTATATAATTAAACTTTTCTTTAACTGTTCGCAGAATTATAATAAAACTCGCTATGGTTATATCACATTATGTTGTGCTTGCTGTGTGTTGATGTAGTTGTTGTTACCTACGTTATTTGTTGTCTTCAGCCACATCAAATACTGTGACTAGAACGTAATACCAGTTGACTACGATTTATGATGTGCTTATTGTGTGTTGATGACGTTGTCATTGTGTTATTATGTTGTTTGTTGTCTTTAGCGTACTTCAAATGCTGCGACTACAACATAATATCCGTCGACTACAACCCGTTAGCCAGTGGTCGGTGCTACATACAAGGTGCTCATAATGCGAAGCTAGTGGGAATGTGCATCGCGCAGCTGGTTGACGAACTAGTTCAAAATCATGGCTTCAACCTGTCTTTAATACACCCCATTGGCTTCAGTCTTGGAGGACAGATTGCTGGCTTCATAGGAAATTACCTAAAATCGGGGCGATTGTACCGCATAACAGGTATTTTTTTAAATACCTGTAAATGTACATGCACACGTGAGGTATTCAAAAACATGTAATGACCACACCAGTTCAGTGTCAAAGAGACTATAGGTGTCCTAATTTATCGAATACCTATTTAGTTATTTAAAACTTCTTTACTAAAATTTGGATGTAACACCTTCGCACCTTCGGAACCAAAACTTTTCAAGAGAGACGTATAAAGTTTCTACGAACGAAATTGGTCGACAATTTCTTTATGCTTAAATAGCAGAGATAAAATTTCTGATACATAATTTGTGTTTCTTTTTTTAATAATATTAAGTGACGGGACAAACAAGTCGTGCGCCTGATGGTAAGCTACACGCCTATCCATAACGGTTGCAGTGCCACTCAGAGCTTTAAATCGCAAAGATCTGAGGGGCACTGCCACTGCGCCTGGCACTCTGAGACATAAGTTGACTAGTCCCATGTACCTGTAATTTCACCAGCACCTTTTAAAACCAGAACCCAGTAATGCTGACATTACTGCTTGGCGGCGGCTTGGTGTCTGTAGTTTGTATTATTTTTATAACTTTATAGCACTTTTCACGTCGACTCTGGAAAGCAATCTTGTCGTGATTCGAAAGATTGAAGCTTTAAAACTCTATTCACAGCATTTTTCTGTGTTTATTGCCAAAAACCGACGTCACATGAAAAAAAATATCGTCATATCAACACAACTCCTAGACTAAAAAATGCGGATTTTTTTCTAATTAAAATTTGTAAAAATACATTTTCTCAATTTTTCGACGTCCGATAAGATTGCTTTCCAGGGTCGACGCACAAGAATTTGGCTTTATTATACTAAGAGTATGATATTATATTTATTTAGCAGTAGATGTAGAGCTTCTTGTGAAACAGTTCGTCCAGAGAAACCCTTATCTATTTCTGCCGCCAAACAGCAATGTAAGCATTACTTCGTTCCGCTTTGGAAGGGTAAGGGTGCTGTTTTAATCACACGCACGCGACGTTACGTTTCACCATCACACTTCTGCCAAAGCAGTAGAACCTGTCCTGCTCTTGATGTCTGGAGTGGTAAGACCACGCGGGCATTAAGTTCAGTAGAAGTAGAGCTCCTTGTGTAAGAGTCCGTCCAGGGCAATGTGAGCATTACTGCGTTCCGGTTTTAACGAGTAAGAGACTTGTCAACTTATGTTTCAGGGTGATGGGCGCAGTGGCAGTGCACCAAGATCTTTGCGATTTAAAGCTCTGAGTGTCACTGCAACTGTTATGGATAGGCGTGTAGCTTACCATCAGGCGGCACGACTTGCTCGTCCCGTCATTTAACAGTATTGAAAAAACCCTGAGTGGCACTGCAACTGTTATGGATAGGCGTGTCGCTTACCACTAGGCGCACAATTGTACGCCGCGTCACTTGGTATTATAAAGAAAAATTGCTTTCCATTCTCAAGGCCTCGATCCTGCGCTTCCAATGTTCTGGACGTTTGACGATAGCAAAAAGTTAGACGCTGGGGATGCCAGATTTGTGGACATTTTGCATACGAATTCTTTCATAAGAGGCAAGTTTGAGAGTACTGGGACAATCGATTTCTTTGCTAATAATGGCATGATCCAGCCTGGCTGTTCATCAACAAAGGCAGGTAGGTAATATTCACTTTTATACCGGCGTTTTAATAATGACTTTCCGCTGTCTTTCTCGTCATAATACATATTTATTATATTTATTGTTACAGCTGGGAACCTAATAAAATTTATACAGGGTAAGTGTGCTATATAAGAATACTATGACATACGAAAAATAACTTGCTTTGATGAAAAAAATAGTAAAGCTTTACTTATTATTTCAGCTATTGCAGATTTTAATAGTAAGTACCGTACAATTTTTAGGAGTTATATTGGTAAAAAATTGTCTTTTTTGTCGTGTGTCTGGTTAAGGATAATTAAAAAACCTTATTATATCAACACAATAATGTTACGTCTAGTTATATGGGTATGGCCTCATCTTCGTTACTTATATGAATAGGGCAACAAACATTTTAGTCTGTATTATCTTCGAATGGTAAACCTTTTTTTTTTTTTTTTTTTTTTTTTTAAAAAAAAACGGTATATTCTGCCCTCGGAACGAAAAAGGGCACAACTAAAATGTTTTATTAAAATACAGTCACATACGTATTCGGGATCTGGAAATAATGGCCAATAATTTATTTTTGTGAAATTATAACTCTATAAAATTGTTGAATTTACAGCAAGCTCAAAGGACATAACCAGATAAATAGATAACTCGTTCATTTGCTGAATCACAGTACATGACAAACAAACTTACAAAATAGGTACAATGGTAAGCATAACGAAAAAGGCTAGGTTGTGTCAGGTGTAGAGTTGAGTGTACTGTGTCAGCAAAAAGGGCCTGGTAGCATAACTGACTTCAATAATCAGATTTGTTTACTATAAAAAGTAATATTTGACGGTTATTACGTTAAAAATACTAATATCAAAGGATTTTAATTAGTAATGTAGTAGTTCAATTACAATATAATAACACAAAAAGGCACAACTCAATACAATCGTGCCCTTTAGTTCTAGTCATGAGTCAAATATTAAAAGTCATATTTAAATTAGTTACGACATTTGTACGCAGTTATATATTTTTTTTCTACTAGGTAAGTTAGAAGAGAAAATTAAGGTGTTTTTAAAAACGGCTGCTTAAAATAAATGAATTTTTTTGTATAAAACATGTGCTAAACTACTTAACATTAAATGTGTACTTTAACTATTCTTTTCATCAGAAAAAATGTTTAACTATTTAGTTTACATTTGGACTCCTTTACTTTTATGACCTATTTATTATGTGACTTTGAGAGTGATTATTATTTGATCAAAAATTACCAACCTACTAATTGTTAATTTATTAGCTGTAATTAAAAATCGATTATAGAATCGACTCTGAGAGAGTGCAACCAGTATCACGACGTACAGAACCGTTCCGAAATAATGGAAAAATAAAAGGAAGTCATACTTTGGTAGCAAAACCTGTAATTAGTAATAATCATTAACTGAAGTGCTTTGTTCTTACTGTGCGCATAGATTTCCTAGAATGTTAATTTAGTGTCAAACATCACTCCGGAGTCCTTAGGTACCTACTGTTTTGCTACCTAATGACTGTTTTTCAATTCAATAGTAATTAATAAGTTTATAATGCTTATTAGTGAAATTTATAACGAATCATTTTCAGCACAATCTAGCTGCAGTCATGCCAGGGCAGTAGCGTACTTTGCCGAATCCATAAATTCAAAAGTAGGGTTCCATGCGATGAAATGCACCACATGGATTGGCTATATGGTCGGTTTGTGCGGGCTGCTCCATTCGTCCAGACAAGATGTACTCTTTGGTGAACGGGTGCCGCTTAAGTAAGTCTTATTATCTATAGTAAGTATTAAAGCCAACGTAAATACAATTTATTACACATAATTATGTACACGTATTACGTATTACACTTTTATACGCTTTATAAAATCTAAATTAGTTCATTTAACATGCAATATCTGCCTCCGTGACCGAACGGTTAGCATATCGGACTGCCACGCAGAGGTCCCAGGTTCGATTCCAGGGCCGGGAGAAATATTTGTATGGCCTACATTCATTTCTCTCGGGAGTTTGGGTGTAATTTGTGGTAGTCTATGTGTGTGTCCATGGCACCTGCGACACAGGGTTTCCCTAGTGCGGGGCTATTGTTGAGTGTGTGCGTTAATAAAAGATACGGGTGTACACATATTTGGCGAATGTGCACATCTGCTCACGTGGATTACGTAATGCGATTAGTTCGCGTCGCACATCATGAGTCTTTTAATTTAGCCGCGTATTACCTATTTGAAAAAAAAAAGCGAATTAATAATAATCACTCAGTATTCTGCCCTAATCCGTAATGGTTAATAACAGTCGTGCCGCTCTCTATCAATTTCTTCCTTATGCGGGAAAGGCACTATGACCTGTTCAAGTAAGCCCACACAGGGACCATCTAAGTCAGGTTCTAACCCCAGATCATTCCGTTTGCACGAACTTCATCCGGTTCTCTGTAAGGCTAGTGCCTTAGGTGAGCCGCCCCGGATGCACGTTCAGCACCCTCCCTATTTTCCAGATAGATACCGGAACTGTAACCACCGCTTAAGAACACACAAAAATATATTAAACACACACAACGCCTGAATAAAAACGATAATAATTAAAATACAGTTATAATGCCGAGCATTGGTTTTAGTACACATTAAATATAATATTATCTTAATGTGTAGTAATCATTACATCAATCGTTAATTAATTGTAAATCGCGTATACCTATTTGCTTTTTAAAAAAAACTAACGTTTCAGGCTCTTTACTCATGTCCTGTAATCATGACTGACAATGACCAGTCCATGACTGCCACCGTGGCCGAGGGGTAAAAATGCTGGTTGTCTCACACAGAGAATCCGGGTTCGATTTCCAAGCCGGGAGAAATATTTGTATGGCCTACATTTATTTCTCATGTGAGTTTGCGCATAATTTGTGGTTGTCTATGTGTGTGGCCATGGCACTCGTCGTACAGGGTTTCTCTAGTGTGGGACTATAAGTGTATGAGTGTCGTTTCCAATACATTTATAATTCCAAATATATACGAACTTATAGCATTATAAGTTGGGTCAGTTACACATGATAGCCTACTATCTATATTATTGATTTTTCTGATTATAATGATAATAAAATAACGGGAGTAAGGTATAAAACCTGGAGTTTCATATCCATTGCTTTAGAGACTGTGTACCTATTTAATTATGGACTTATGGAATTAAAATATTAATATAAAAAAAAATATTATTACATATGGACTCGAATTTTTAGACTTTATTTATTATTTTAACTTTTTCAGTGCTCGTGGACTCTACTTCTTTTCGACAAACTCAAAACCACCATATGCAGTTGATTAGTTTACCCAGTTACAAATAACAAGCACGCCCTTTGCTAGAAAACAAATTATAAGAAATAGAAGATTTAAAGGTAGAAAAGAAATAAAAGAAATATAAGATATCAAAACAGAGTAACCGGAATTTTTAGGAACTCTTTAAATGCAATATTCTAAAAAATAATTAACTAACATACAGTAATTACATTAATAAAAATATCAAAATCAGGGTTTCATAAATTATTTCCTCTTTCAGTGTAATATATGTATAATACATTAAATGTCAAAATCTTGTTCACCTTTTCGAAGTTGCACTAGTAAAAATACGGACGAAAACATCGTTAAAAATCTTGTTTTTGTAGATAAAATTTATTGTAAGGACACTCCTGCAAGGGCGCTCTGTACGAATGCCGTTTGATCCTATTATGGTTAACGTAGTTAACGATGTGAATATAATAAACGTTCAGTAGACAGATTATAGACTACTACCAAAATTCGTGGACTGTCAGTATTACAATAATTTATGGTTTCAAAGTTACACGGGCTCAAAAACTTGTCAATTTCCAACTTTGTACTACTATTATAAAAATTATAAAACAATCCCTAAAGATTTTTAAAATCAATGAGAGGACAGATATTTTTTTATTTTTTGTGATACTATAAGCTACACAACTGTCCATACCAGCTGAAATGCCACTCAGAGCTTCAATCGCAAAGATCTGAGGGCACCCCCATCGTGCCCGCTATCCTGAGACATAAGTTGACAAGTCCCATGTGCCTGTAATTTCACGCGCATACCTGCTTACCCTTCAAAATCGGAACGCAGTTCACACTACTGCTCGGCGGCATGAATAGTTAAGGTGGTGGTAGTACTTCCCTATAAGAACTCTTTCACAAGGAGCTTTACTGTCACTGCAAAGTTTGTTGAAACGCAAGGCACATCTACCAATTTCATATGGATAATCATCAAATTACGAATTGCCCAACGAGTCCACCTCTGGGACAATTCTCTAGAAAGAATTGTGCAAAAACATGGGGTGAGACAGTGTGAAAGAAGGACTATTGGCTGACGTTAATTGTGAACACTAATAACCTACGGATGGCAACGTATCCATCTAAACATTGACGGATCTTGGTCCGTTGCTCCGATGTTCGAACGTAAGTGTATGAGCTTGATGTGCTGTTGACTGAACCTTCAAGGAAAGAAAGTTCTTCTTCCTAATGGTGTCCATACTGCCGTGCTGAGGATCGTGACTTCACTTCATCCTGCCAATCATTTGTCTCCATCAGACTCAGGTTGCGCTCAGTAGACCAGTGGCGTGTGGCGTTAACAGATAGCTCCCGATGTTCAGGGGTCTGATCTGATCTGACAATCGTTTGGGATTCCTCCCTCTAGGTTTCTTTCTTTCCACCTTACCTGTCAGAATCAAACGCTCCTGGTTATCAACATCTTCAACTTGACCAAAGTAATGTATCACACACTGCATGCAAATTAAAGACAGAGGCTGTGCATTCTCTATCTTGAGTTCCCCAAATACAGAGACATTGGGGCAGCGGGCTGGCCATGGTCAAATTCAAATTCAAATTCAAAATAATCTTTATTTCATAGGTAAGCATTATTACACTTGAAATCGTCACAATAGTTAAACTCTATTCGTAAGGCAGATTCCCCTGAGAAGAATGAGCAAGAAACTCTAGGGGTTGCTCTTTGTAAATAACATTTACAATTTTTTTTTTATTTGAAACATCAGAGATCGAGACTACCTCCATGAGCTAAACGGGTTACTACCACGGATTTTTGTCGTCCAAGTACGCAGAATTTGTATAATAACCTTTAGTATAAAGTTTTTGTTTCACTATAGTTTTAAACCTCGTGAAAGGCAAATTTTGTATATCAACCGGAATCTTGTTATAGAAGCGTATACATTGCCCCTTAAATGATTTTTTGACTTTGTGAAGACGACTATCAAGAAAAGCTAGTTTATTTCTATTCCTCGTATTAATGTTATGTCTGTCACTATTTTTCATAAATAAATTACTATTCCTTTTAACATAAATTACATTTTCATAAATGTACTGTGAGGCTAGTGTAAGAATGTTAATTTCCTTAAACTTATCTCTCAAAGATACTTTGGGGCCCAGATTGTAAATTGCCCTAACTGCACGTTTCTGCAGGACAAAGATTCTATTGATATCGGCGGCATTACCCCAAAGCAAAATGCCGTATGTCATTAGACTGTGAAAGTAGCTGAAGTAAACCAATCTAGCGGTTTCGACGTCTGAAAGTTTCCTTATTTTTTTAATCGCGTACACTGCAGAGCTGAACCGTTTTGATAACTTACTTATATGGTGACCCCATTGCAATTTAGCATCTAACGTTATACCTAGAAATACAACTGTACCCACAAGATTCAATTTTTCGCTTCTAACTACAATGTTTGTAACCGTCTCTCTAACATTGGGTAATGTAAATTTCACACAATTTGTTTTTTTCTCATTAAGAAGTAGGTTATTAACAGCAAACCAATCAACTACTTTAGATATAACATTGTTCACATCGTCGTAGGAACATTGGTGCCTTTTAACTTTAAATAATAAGGAAGTATCATCAGCAAACAATACTATCTCATGTTTTATACCCTCCATAAGGCTAGGTAAGTCATTAATATAAACTAAAAATAAAAATGGGCCTAGAATTGAACCTTGAGGGACACCCATGCTAATTGCAGATCCTGACGATCTCGTACCGTTAACATCGACCCTCTGTACCCTACCACGCAAATACGATTTTAGAAGGTCGAGATCACGTCCCGCCACACCATAATGGCGGAGTTTCCTGACCAGTGTATCATGGTGCACACAATCAAAAGCTTTGGAAAGGTCACAGAATACACCAATAGCGTCATGTGAGACTTCCCATGCATCAAATATATGATTAATCAACTCGACACCAGCATCGGTTGTAGAGCGACCCCGAGTGAAACCAAATTGTTTAGGAGACATTAAGTTATTACTATAAAAATGTGCACACATCTGATTTAGAATAATTTTTTCAAATATTTTACTGAGAGTTGGTAGTGTCGATATCGGTCTGAAATTGGTGGGGTCAGAAATACTACCAGATTTGAAAAGTGGAATAACTTTGCTTCATGAGGTCAGGAAAGACACCATCATCAACACATTTATTAAAGACACAGGCTAAATAAGGCGCAATACAATCAACTATAGAACTAATTACTCTGACTGAAAGACCATCAAGATCAGCAGTATTTTTTATCGAGTTCTTAGGTTTTCGCGATTGTTATACATAGGAATGAAACTATTTTTCCGGATTTAAATCGCGTATATTTGTTTTTTCAAACAAACCGACGTTTCGGGCCCTTTACAGGTCCCATGGTCACGGTTGACGGTTTGTTTGAAAAAACAAATATACGCGATTTAAATCCGGAAAAATAGTTTCATTCCTAAGTATTTTTTATGTTTATAGACTTAAAGGCTTTAACAATATCGTTTGGAAATACATAACGGAACCTTAAATTAGTGATACTAACTGCATTATTTTCTTTTAGTAAGGATTCAGCGGCGGTGGGAGATGAATTTAACGACTTAGTAGTCAAAATTGAAATGTCAGTAAAAAAAATTTCAAATATTTTAGCAACTTCTGCGTCTGTGTTTACAATTTTGTCATTAAATCTTAGTTGAAAATCTAAGTTACGAGGTCTGACCCTTCCAGTTTCGTTGTTTATAATATTCCAAGTCGTTTTTACTACATTCGCGCTGCTTTTTATTTTATTATTTATAAACATTGCTTTGGCTGCAACACAAACACGTTTAAACATTTTCGAATATTTCCTAACAAAATTATTAAAACTGTTACTAGTGTTATAAGTCCTTTCATCGTAAAGATCATATAGTCTTTGTCTACTTTTGTGAATTCCCACAGTCGCCCAATCACTAAATTTCAATGAATTATTAATAGTTATGATTTTGGACCTAAAAACGTTATCACGTTCGCTTTTGACTATGTTGAAAACTGAATTATACAATTTATTGGGATCGTTAAATTACGGAAGTTCAGTTAGTTTAAGCATTACATTATTTCTATAAGCTTTAAGTATTCTCAATATTCGACGTCAGTACCATATTGCAACTAAATTCTCTGCCTGTTGGCGGCTTTCAGCGTCTATGTCTCGCAAATGAAGTTACTACTAAGGAAAAGGAGGATCGGACCCCACCTTATTGATTGCCTGTCATTGTTTCTTCGTTGATGAAACATTTGAATTTTTAACTGTACTTATTTCGAAGAATTTTCTAGCATTCTATTTATTAGCTACCTACCTATAATTTTATTAAAACGTCTATCATTTATGCGACGGATGAAGACTTTGTCAATGTGTCAATATCCTTGTATCCATCCTTAATTAGAGATACTTGCAACATGTATCAGGTCGTGCCGATTGCCGCCAGCTTATTCCGTCGGCTTCCAAGAATTAGGCAATTTCATTTAGTCAGGTGACATTGCGAAAGCGTACATATAGTGGTTGACATCTTTGTGGTTATCAAAGCTTTATAAGTGCTAAAGTTAAAATAAAGATATTTGGATTTTTGTGCTTGACTTCCCTATTCAGAATTTTTTGTTATGATATCACATGGCGCAGCGAACAGGTCGATGGTAAGCTATACGTCTACCCATAATATTTGCTGTGCCACTCAGAGCTTTATTTTATATTGCAAAGATCTGATGGGCACTGTTACTGCGTCCGACACCATGAGACATAAAATTGACAAGTCCTGTGTGCTCGTAATTTCACGAGCATTCTTGCCCATGCTCATATTACTACTTGGCTGCAGAAATAAGTTTGGTAGCAGTACTTTCCTGGACGAACTCTTTCATAATGAATTCTGCCAAAAACACTACCCAGCTACCAGCTAACTATGTATTATTATATATATCAACTGACTACAAAGCGAAACTGCAACATTCAAAGAAATAGAACCAGAGACATCTTATGTATTTAAAATCATTAGGTGTCACTACCTGGGTAATGTATTTGCGATGATAAGAATACTTCTGTCGCAATTGTCCATATGACGGTAATTAGTTTTTATTAAATGGGTCGTCTGACTGCGGCCTGTGTCAGAAGTTTTATTAACTTAGAACTTTATTAGTTTCACAATTAAGGTAAGTATGTTGTTTGCCATGAAATTAATTATTTTTTTAATGATAGACCATTCGCGTCAATGGTTGATTTTCGAGGAAATTTTTTACTGTGCAATTTTTGTTACTAGGTCAGAACATTGAGTAGTTTGTTGAATTTTGACCATGTCGTAATGAACATCATCACGGTTAGTAAAGGATACGCGTTTCGCTTCTACCTGCCTGAATATTTGTTCTCTGTACGGTCTAACTTGACAGACAAGAGTGTGCATTATTTAGGTGTGTATGCTCCATCGTCAACATCATCACCACTTTTCATCAGGTGAGATGGAAGTGAAATGTGCATTTAATATTTTAAATAAAAGAATTAAACATTTTTAAACATAAATTAAATGCATTTTTATTCTTACCAATGAAAGTTACTAATTACTTATTTAATAAGCTAAAATAACTATAGAACATAATTAGAACAAATCAATAAATAATTTAAAAGTAAAAATCTGGAAATGTCATGGTATTGCAATGGAAAGAAAAATACAAATTGCAAGACGAGAATCTACAACAAGGTCTCGCTTACTAATGGTTTAACAAAACCAGTTATACGATTATCGAATTTGGAAGACGTGCAATAGTGAGGTAACTAAAGATTGATTATTGTTATTATAGTGTTACCTTGATGTTTCCGGCTGCAAAACTTTGCATCCGTTCTTTCCGTACTTCCTTGGAGTTATCAAATTTTCTTTTAGATGTAAATTGACGAGGTACATATTCAACATATATATAACATTATCTAGATAAAGAAGATAATAGGACTTTATGGTTGAGATATATTTTGACCTCGTTTGAAAAATATTCACATAGTGTAGTCGATACCCTAAGATACCTGACCCGCTAGTCTCTAAGGTCTTGTCCAGAAGAAGAAAATTCGCCGCGTATGGTTTCGCGCGTAGGTACGTTGCTTCCAGAAGAAACGTTTTAGACGCGAGCGTTTGAAGGTGGATTCAGTCAGAATTCAAGGGAATGTACTCCGTACATCCAATTCTTTGCAATAGAATGACATATAGTATGTTATAAAACTATGTTTTCCCATATCAAGTTCTTAGGTTTTCGCGATTGTTACACATAGGAAATGAAACTATTTTTCCGGATTTAAATCGCGTATATTTGTTTTTTCAAACAAACCGATGTTTCGGGCCCTTTACAGGGCCCATGGTCACGGTTCACTGTTTTGTTTTAAAATTGCACTAGCGTACTCAGAAGATTCCATATCCCATATTGCCGATTTTTTGTTTCATCTTTATACGTTTCTTCATCAAAATTAGGCCGCTCCACTTCCCTAGATATGTGCACCCACTCTGAAGTTTGCACGTAAACTGAACGGAACCAAGGAGTTTCTAGTATCTCGACTTGCGCGAGTCACGCGCGTTATGCGCGCGATTCAAAAGTCTGGCGTATTACACACAATTTACGCGCGAATTTTAAACTCGCGTGATGCTTGTGGACGCGATGTATAAGCGGCCAGTACCCTGCAGACGCGTGTATGATTTCGCGCGAGACAAGGATTATGAGGGGTTTTACGCATTTATCAGAAGTGTTAAAGAAATTCCAGCTTAAAAACGTTAAAGATCAATTTGTTGAAACAAAAAATTTCTTGAAATGTCATGCAGTCAGGAAATCACATCAAAGTGAATTTTAGACTTCACAAGTTAAAGGGATTGTTTAACACTTTTCTTCAGGCTTTTCTACTCAGAACCAAATGGTCAGGTAGAGCATCGACTGTACGTAGGTACAAAAAAAAATGTTTACTTCATTGAAGATGAAAAATATTACGCTAAACAAACGTGCGAATATATATAAAACTCTAAGGCATGTGAATGTAAAAAACAAAATCTATGAAACAAAATACTTTCAAGAGGCACTTGATCCCAGTATACCAACATGGGTTAATACAGAAGGATGGCCGAATGTAGACATAGGAAGCCTACGCGCGCAGGGTCAACATCACCCAGCGACTTTCGCTGCGTACGCGCCAGTATTCGAACCGCAAACGCTCGCGACACACGCTTACAAAGGCCCTAAAGAACCTTTACATTACACGACAGTTAAACAAACGATTTACTGTACATAATACAGAACAAAATAATGCAGTAGTAATAAGTAGTAATTGTATACTTTTAGTAAACTTTGTGATAATTTTCTGTGATCAATAATTGTTAAGAAGTTTGCTGTATAGAGTTTTGGAAAGATTGTTTGTTTAAAAACATGGTAACAGGTGTAAAGTGTTTATTTGTAATTGGAATTACGGTGTTACAAATTAGTGGTAAGTGATCTATTTACTTTTATAACTCAAACATAATGTTTCTGAAAACATGTTTGTTTTAAAATTTATTTAAGGTTTCTACCTTCCGCCCTTTCCTTTACCCCACTGACCTTCTGTATAAGTCGTGTAAGGTACTAACTGTAAGGCAATTATTTATTAAATCCACAGTTCTCAAACAGCACATTGCACTCCCATATAGTACTGAAATCACTAACACAAGAGGGAAAGATATCGTCTGCCCCAAAATTGTATCATCAAAACGTGTTTATTTCCAGATTTTTTGTATTTCTTGGTCCAATTTTGTACAATAAATTAAACGCCAAACTGGCCATATATCATTTTTGTTACATAAAGGTTAAGAAATTTTCTCCAAGAATTCCTTCAAAATATATCCTACGATGATACAGAGAATTTATTAATTATCCCAAAATAAATGTTGTCTAATTTAAACGTAATAGGTATATGATTTGCATTTCATTGTTTGATTATTATTATTGTTTTGTTTATATTTAAATAATTTTTTTGTTTATAATTTAATCATCATATATTCACCTGTATAATTAGTATTTTTACCTGAAATACAGGATTCTCCTAGTTCAGGTATACGTCTTATATTTTACATTTATTCGCATAATTAGTCTTTAGTTATTCATTTGTAGAATACGTTATTCAATAAACAATGTTATTATTTTATTATTTTTACTTCCCTGAACGAATTCTTTCACAAGGAGTTCTACTGCTCTAAAATTAAATTTTTTATAGTTCACATTTTTATAATTTTTAAAGTTTTGTTAAGTTTTAAGAAGATATTGGACTTATATTTTGGATCCTAAAGATCAGAATTCAAATTTACCTAAACTTCAAGGAAGTTATACACAGAGTGAATCGTACCTCACTCTGAAATCTCGGAATTATTGTATTGTATTTTGTTCTATGTTGATTGGCAACTAGCTAGCTAGACTTAGTACGGTTACCATTTTTAAAATATCTCTTTAAATATTGTACAGAATTAGTAGTATTTTGATTGATTAAATTTGAGTATTTCGTTAAACAAATTACTACTATTGTACAATATTATTAAAAAAGTTTGTAAATTGCAAAGTATAAATATGAACATATTTACCACCTTACCTATTCCTGCCACCAAGTAGTAATGTGAGCATTACTGCGCTTCGATTTAGAAGGGTAAAGGTGCTGATGAAATTACAGGCACATGGGACTTGTCAACGTATGTCTCAGGGTGACGGGCGCTGTGGCAATGCCCATAAGATTTTTGTGGTTTAAAGCTCTAATTGCACTGCAATTGTTATGGATAGGCGTGTCGCTTACAGCCACGCGCACGACTTGCTCGTCCTGTCACTTAGTATTGTAAAAAAAGTTTTATTGACTATCATGATGTTTTTATTATGATATTCACCTATTTTCTGAGAAAATACTCCGCTGGTGTGTTATTATTATTGATACGAGAACAAACAAAGTATAGTTCCTTCGATTGGACTGGACATGTAGCCTCAAAGTGGCTATGTCCAGTCCGATCAAAGGAAGTTTTCTTTGTGTATGTTCGATCTTTGTATGACATACGTACGTAATAGTTATAAATATTGTGTTCTAATTATTTGGCTTTCATTTTTAATAATTTCAGATGAACTGATTATCCAAGACATTATTTGGTAAATATAATTTTAAAAATGTATGCCATCTCATCCGTTTTTTGTTCTATAATGTATAATGTTCAAAAATATTACAATTTATTTTTAAATATGTTTTTTTAAAAACAGCCTATATTGCAGCAATATGCGACCTTCGTTTTCCACTCACCATACGCGAGAACCTTACACGTATTAGAGTTCCTTAAAAGAATATCAAAAAACAAAACTTAAAAAAATATTAGACTAGTTGCCTGTCACTAGCAATAAATAGTGTGTATTTAAAATGTGCTTGTAATTTTGCTGGGTATATTAGTTTACAAACTTTAATTGCACATTTTGAAAGAGCTGGCGTTAAATAATTACGAAGAAGCTGCAGTCTTTCTAAAGCCTATGGTAGTGACTAAGGCTCAATTTTAATTGCTGCGGAACAGAATGGCGGCACGTCACGTAGAGGGTGTACGAAAGAGGACTCCCCGCACGACGACGAACGTACCATTCCTTTCCTGTACGTCTCGCGCACCCTGGGCAACCATCGGCGAGTACCTTACGTCGATTGGCAAAACCTTGCACCACGATGGCAGCATTACAGTGTATGTCTTCGATATGACAAGAAATGAATAAGAAGCAGAAATATCACTTACAAACTAGATATGAGTCCAAAAACAGGTCGCGCGTCTTCGGGATAATTCTCGCGCAGTCTCGTGAATTCCCGCAGCTACAGCGGATCTAGTATAACATTGCACAATAGAAATAAAGTTAATTGTGCTATATAGAAATACGTTACAAAAGTTCTTTTCAATTCGGCAGAATCGTTATTCAGGATGTAGTAGTTTACGGATTGCATCTATAATAACTACGTTATTTATTAGCTTGAGATTAATGTTTATTCTTGGCGTAGAATAAATTTTAAGCCGATGCTCACTTGCCAATCTTTGTTATGCGACAATCCTCCGTGGCCGAACGGTTAGCGGACAGTGGACTGCCACGCAGAGGTCCCGGTTTCGATTCCCGGGCCGGGAAAAATATTTGTATGAGCTACATTTGTTTCTCTCGTGAGTTTGACGAGTTTGGGTGTAATTTGTGGTTGTCTACCTAAGTGTATGGCCATGGCACCCACGATACAGGGCTTTCCTAGTGCTAGGAGTGTGTCAAAAAAAACCTTAAACGATTGTTTCTGGAGAGGAACAAAAAACTGTTGCTCAATTTTATATTTCATAAAATATATTACATTACATAACTTACAACGGAATTCAAATTAGACCTAATTAATATTTAATAGGCACAATCTAATTTAGCACACAAAAAATTAAAAAAAGTACTACTAGTAAACCGAACACGAATTAGATTATAGATTAGATTAGATTTATAGTTAAATTTATAGTTTTAGGTTTATATTATTAGATTAGATTTATAGATTGTGTGATGATGAGCAAGTCAAAATATCTAGTTAAAATCATCGACTTGATTTCATTTATATTTCTAACAATGCCACTTACACAGTTTACTCTTTAATAACACAAAACCTCTTGACATAAAGTTACTATAACAAAACTGACATATTTTATGTTTTACAACTTCTAAAAGTTCTTATCATCAGAGTAATTCAAAATAACCCTGTCTATATATTTTTTTAAGATACCAAGAGATGGGACTGGTGGTAAGCGACACGCCTATCCGTAACAGTTGCAGTGTCATGCAGAACTTTAAATCGCCAAGATCTAAAGAGCAATGCCACTGCGCCCGTCACCTGAGACATAAGTTGACAAATCCCATGTGCATCTAATTTCACCAGCACCCTTACCCTTCAATACCAGAACACAGTAATGCTGACATTACGGCTTGGCGGCAGAAATAGGTAAAGTGGCAGTACTACTCTGGACGAACTCTTTCACAAGGAGCTCTACTGTTACTTAATTTAATTTCTTTTTTATTTAATAAAAAAAGAGTGAATAAAACAACTGCTTAAACTGAAAACGTATGGTACAAACAGAAAACGATTGTCCTGAGACGTGTATGCCATACCAGGTGTTAAGAAGTTTGGATAGACGAAGTGTGATCTTGTTTTGAATACTACCTCATCAAACTCAATGACATTTGCGTACAATCTACATTAGAAATATGATCGTGGTTTGTCAATTACACCGGGCTCTAAAACTCGTATTTGTCGACAAAACGGAGCTCGACAGTATACTAAGAGTCTGAGATAATGCACAATTAAGTTTTATTTATAGATACAGAGAACTATTTGAATGAACTTCAAACATGAAATAAATAACAATATTATCAAGGAAGACTATGCTCTTAAACAATTTTGGTCACAGGATGCCCCCGTGCTTTTGTGCATTTCACCTCGCGCTCTTACCTTTCTTAACCGGAACGCAATAATGCTGACAATACTGCTTGGCGGCAGAAATAGATAAGATGGCAGTACTACCCTGGACGAACTCTTTCACAGGAGCTCCTCTGTTACTAGATAGGTGTGTAATAGGATCGTGGTAAGATAATATCCGTGGTTTCTGTAACGGTTGAAAACTGTAATGACTTCCGGATTATTCCAAAATTTGGACTTAAATAGCAACACCCATTTATAATAAATTGTATTTGGGTGGTGCTCACTTCGCCAAAGTGAGCAGCAGGCCAAGGAGCTGGTTATGGACCGTGAGGAATGGGCGAGGCTACACAAATACTGGCTCTTATATAGGATAATGATAAATGTGTGCTTCAAAAAATTCTTAAATGCAAAATGCTTTTTTAGCCTACTTAAAAAATAAGAAGGTTCTCAATTCGACATTTTTTGTGACATTTGTGAACCGATTTCGATGATTCTATTTTTGTTGGAAAGAGGGTACCTCAGTGGTGGTCCCATTAAAATTTGAGGAAAATATTCCACCTCTAAGGGTGGCATATTAGGGGATGAATCCGGTTTATTGGATTTCATACACTTTCCGTTAACCAATTTCAATAAAACTTGTCAAATACATGTAATTCCACAAACTTGGAAGTCGTATTTTTTAAGGTTATAGTTATAATTATTACTTTATGATAGCCTAACATTATTTCACAATCAGATTTGTTGGATATCGAAAACATGATACATACACGTTGTTAAAAAGACGCGTGTATGCAATATCCGTAAGAGAAACATCATACTAAAGAATTGTGTAATAAGTTAACACGAACATCGCTGCGCTTACTTTCCTTCAGACGAGTTTTGCACGTTTACCTCGGTATAATATTAACTAATATTGCTATAGTTGTTGAGTTGGAAAAAAGACTATTAAGAACCTATTAGCATAACTAATTAGATGTTCTATAAACAGTTGAATATCTTCAGGTTTCAGTTTTACGAAA